CAAACATGAGAGGAGGTTCTAATACAATCAAAACAAATTCAAGAGTAGAGGCATAAACACCAGACAAAAATATGTGTAATACAAAATAGAAGCGTTAATCTTTTTAGGACACGATAGGTATTGGAACAGTGGACATAGTCAAGAAATTCAAGGAAGAAATGGATTTGAGAAAAATACCATGGGACAAAGAGGAACTAAATGAGAACTTTGAATATCTTTTCTGAGATTCCTGAAACAACAGCTTAGGAATATCTGAAGAAAAGGTGAAATTTAAAAAATAGAATTACTTCCCTGGAGGACAAAACTGAAGAAATCGAGAAAGGGAAACATACTCAGAAAATGTCACAACTGGACAAAGACTTAGAACAGTTGGATAAATTGAATCGGGAAGACAGAACAAAGAAAAAGAATTTTAGAATAGTCAAGGTTTGTGGAAACTTGGAAGGAAATAACATGACATATCCTGGGAAATTATATAGGGAAATTTGAATATATTGAAAAAGAAGGACAGGTTATAATCAACAAGAAGGGTTAATCCCAATGTCATCTTACCTACATACATCATTGTCAAACTTCACGACTGCCATAATGAGGGGATGATTTTGCAAGTAACTGAGAAGAGCATCTCATGCCAGAAAAACTAAGTTTGAGTTATAAAAGTTTTTCTACCAAAAGAAAAAGGACAGAATCTGAAACATTTTATTTCTAAAAAAAACTATAAAATTTCATACCAAAACCAGTTTAGCTTTCCATTTTTGCTAAGTTTCTAATGCAGTCTGTTTGAAGACAAAAAGATGGTCATTAAGAATCTCCGGGAATTTCAAGGATTTGTGGAGGAGAGAGCCAGTCTTAAGGCAGCTTTCCAACAAGAAGGCAGATCATCATCAAGGTATGAAAACCAAAGTGAGTTTTACAATTTAACTCAATGTAATCACCATAGGGAGATAGTAAACCATAGAATGATGTAAACAAAAACATTTTGAGTTCTAGGGGTGAGGGAGGAGGGAAGAAGAGAAATTGATTATAAGCATCAAAGATGAAGAAAATGGAGAATGAGCAGCAAAGAGAATAGGAGGAATGGAGAAAGGGTAAGCAGTCTTAATAACCAACTCAAAGGGGAGGGATAGGACATTTGAATCTTTAGAAAACTAGTAGTAGAACTTGAAGAGAGCCTTGTTTAGTATGATTGTTGTGTATTAAGGTTGGAATAGGATTGAAGTGAAATAAGGACAATTTTATCCCTTTTACCAAAATGGCAAAATAGGATTATGAACAGGCCAGAATTGAGCTGAGAGGTTGGGCTGGAAATGGTGATAGCCTATTTCTTAAGTCTCCTTTTTATGTTTTGGGTTTGTAGGAGCTACTGTAATTGTATGCAGTGTCTATGCCTTTATCCTTCTTATTTGGTGCTTACTTCAGCCTCTGCTTTATTTGGTCAGTGATTCCACAGACAGTTGATTTGATGTGATTTGTTTCCTGTCTGTTGAGAAATGGCAGATTTAAATTTTTAATGTTTCTTGCTTGCCCTGTTTAGTGCCTTCTAGCTCTTCTAAATGACTGTACTTATGATTTATGAGGATTTTTAGGAGTCTGTTTTCACTTTGGCTGTTGATTTCTTGATCATAAGCCATAATGGCTAGTATAGTTTTCAGTCTGTACCCCAGTGTTCACTTGTGTATTAAAGTTGTTGAATTTCAAAGTATATATTGATTTAGCTTGAGGAACATTGTTGTCAAGTTCTTCAGTAGAGTTTCTCTACTACTCTCTGTAGTAGATATTGAGACATAAGCTAGTTATCTTCATGGTGGTAAATTTGCTTATGTTTATTTTAAGAATCTTTTAATTAAAAAAGAATCTTTTGAAATTATTTTGAGCATACAATGAAACCAAAACAGCCAGCATTTTTATTCATTTCCTCTAAGAGTAAAACCTGTGAGCTGCTGATCCATTTAGTTGTGACCTCTTTTATATATTCTATTAATGTTTATAATTAGAATGTCAAAATGGTTGTATTCCATTTGTTGGGCATTAGACATAAAGCATACATTTTTCTTGCCAGATTGAGATTCTGCCCTTTTTGACCTATGCCAAAAGAAGTCACTTAGGCAACATAATTAGGAAATGCCTGCCTGCTTTCAGAGAGATAGTGAATTAAATGCATGTCTTTTTAAACCTTTCCCTTTTAAAATGCTTTATAAATTGTAAAAGCCGAGTCGCAGCAGAGTATATGAGAAATAATACTCATAAACTGTTGCAAAACTCTATAGATTTAAAAGGTGTACACAGAGTTCTTTAATGGTTAGCTTTTTAAAATCTTTTTGAATAAAAAGATATAAGGATGTTCTTTCCTTCTGGTTCTTTGTTACTAAAAGTAGTGCCATAAAAATTTTTGTATGTATGTGTGTACACACACACACACACACACACACACACACACACACACACACACACACACACAAGAATTGGAAACTTGATTCCTGTCAGTGTAATTGGTATATGTAGCACCCACCTTATAGCTGAGATACTTCACTTCAGCCAGCATAGAAAAAAAATATAGTTTGACATCTAAGAATCCCCTTATGATTCTGGCAGTGATTAAGTACGGTAATCCAGTTTCCAACTTGACATGTTCATATATTTAAAGTGTTTTTCCATTCCCAGGAAAAGCAGGTTGTGCTGATCTAACAAGGTGGGTGCTAGCAGGGGAGAAACAACAAACTCATCCTAGTTTGAGTTTGGTCACTGCTAATTCTCCTTTAACAAGCAGTCAGCTGTCAGTCATATATAGACCAGTCTCCTGAGAAGCACTTCTCTTATTTAAGATTTCTTAATTCTTGCTTTCTCTTAGCGAGAACTTAGGAAATAATTGTAAATGTTCTGCTGCCCATCTTCACTTCTGTGCTCCAAATCAAAGTAGAGCGTAGCGGCATTCTTTCTTTGTCACGCATTGAAAGCTTCCCTTCCACCCCCAGAATTTGCAGTGTAGAAAAGGGGCTAGAATTAAATTGCCAAAAATGCTTTATTCTCTTAACTAAGAAAGGGCTAAAATTTTCTCAATGTGCAAGAAGTTTAAAAAGATTATTCCTCAGACTCTTTTGTATGGATGCATACACGAAATTTGTAATCTGGCTAGAATCATTTTTGTCAGGGAAAAATTAGAAGTGAATTCTAACTCAATTCTAACTCCAATTCTAACTTGTATAATACAGTGATTAAAAAGTGTAGGGGAGAAGAGGAGGAAAGTCTTTATTTGAGGGAAGGGTGGTGACTTCATTGGTTGGAATTCTTCCCCAAGCTAGAGAAATTGGCATCAATCCTATTGGCTACTGACCTGGCGGTCCTAACCCACTGTACTTAGGACTGGAGCTCTACAAACCTGGCACTAGTTTCATAAGTGCCAGTGCTATATTATTGAGTTGTATAGCTACTGGTGCCATAAGCAGCCTGTTACAAATGAAGAATGTGGACTTCTATTAGCATAATTAGAAACTTGTCCATGTAATTTTTCCATGTAAATATAGCTTCTAGAGTCTCTCCAACCACATTTGGATGATTGCCTAAAGAAGTGGTGTGTTGAAAACAACCACCCCTTCCACCTCTACCTGCTTTGGGATACAGGAGCATCAGCTAGGGACTGGCTGATCGTCTCATTGAAGTGTGATCTTTAAGTGTGATCTTTGCATTTTCTGTGCAAAGATCCAAAATCCATAGGAAGTTGTGCTGGTTAATGAGTGTCATATAGTTTCCATCAGTCTTTTCAATAAGGTGTTACTTGTATTTTTTCATAGTTCATAGAATTTAGAAGCAGGAAGGGACCTTAGAAATATTTTAGTAGACCTCTTATTACAGATGAGGAGACTGAAACCTAAGCAGTTAAGTAATTGGCCTAAGGTCACTCAAGTATTAATGACTGACCTAAGATTCAAACTCAGATTTTCTGACTCTTAATTTTTTATACTAAACCATGTGACTAGATCTCATTCCACAATAAGGTCTTTGTCACACCTGCCTTGTTAAACAAATTTAATAAAAATGAATCTGAGGCTCAGAGTCCCAAAAAACCCATCTTTAAACCCTATCTTGTACAAGACATGTCTTTCCTGATTCCTGAAAGTCTCAGAGATAGTTAGGAAAGGCAGTTGTCTCAAAATTGAGAACCTTTAGGATTTTTTATGAATAGTGTCAATCTAGATTATTTTACATAACCAGTTTGTATTTGCTGGGCAAGCTGTCTGGTAAGTGCTAGAATTATGTAAATCGGACTATTCTTCTGCCTCTCCAAATTCAACGTGTAATCCTATTTATTAAACTGTTAAAGTTTATATTTTTAAGTGAGCAGATTAAATACCAAGTATGCGCAAGTCATGTGCTAGTTCTGTGGGGGAGGGAAGAAAGTATGAAGGACAGTCTTTGTCCTCAAATATGTAATCTCTTGGGAAAATAAGATATTATACCTATGAAAAGTGAATAAGAAGTAGAGCATTGAGACCAAATGGATAATTCAGACAGTAAGTTACAGTAATTCACAGGAGACAGATCTTTTTTTTTTTTTGAGACAGATCATTTTCAAATGTGTGATTGGGAAGGATTCCCAGGAATATGGAACTTGAGCTGGCCCTCAAGAACTGAAAGAGTGGGATGTGATTAGGGAGGAAAGTGAGGGGAGGGAGCATTCTGAACAGGAGGAAAGGTTACAGCAAAGGCTTGGAGGTAGGGTCAGCCTGCCTGGAGTGGATGATTCATTTTGAGGTTATCAAGTGTAAGAGCAGTTTTAAACAGTAGCGTTATTGAAGGCTTGGAATGCCAGGATAAAGAATGTAGGTATTGACCCACTTTGTGTAAGGAAATGACATAAAGTATTTTAGGAAGAATTAGTCTGATGATGTGCTGATTGGATTTTAAGGTGGGGGTGAAGATTGGATAAAAACTAAGGGAGAACAAGTAAGGAGTTACGGATTATTTTTTTTTGCTTGAGTTAAAATTCCTTTTCTTTTGTTTAGGATATTGATACTGGTGTGTTAAGTGAAAATTCAGATGATTCAGTTTCAGACCAATTCAGTGTTGAGTTTGAAGTTGAGTCTATTGATTCAGAAGATTATAGTCACAATGAAGAAGGACAAGAGCTTACAGATGAAGATGATGAGGTGGGTTTTTAAAAAAAAAACACCTACCTACTTAACAAATAAGTAAAGTGTTTTCCATGTTTAGTGTCTTCTGTACAGCAAATTGAAATTTTAATTCCAATTTTTGAATGTAATGGGGTTCTTTTAAAATTCCTGAAATTTCTTTACTTGTTTATCATCCATCATGTGTAGAAAAAACCCTCACATTTATTGTACTTGTAAGGATACCAATATATTTACCTTGTAACTGTGAGAGGAACGTAGCACCAGTAATATCATTCCCATTTTGGTAAAGTTTAAAAAGGTGAAATTACTTGCCCTTGGCTCACTGATCTGGACTCTCTACTGTGCACCAATGCTGTGCTTCTCTGTGGTTGTGAGTCAGTTCTTCATTTTCAGAACATAACTTATATTAAATCTCGGGAACTTTCCTAGATAAAATGAAGTAATAGATTTGTATTAATGGAGTTGTTGGGCCTTGTTTTAGATATACCAGGTAACTGTGTATCAGGCAGAGGAGAGTGACACAGACTCGTTTGATGAAGACCCTGAAATATCCTTAGCTGTAAGTATAAAATTCTGATTTCCTGTGCTACCAAAAAAAAATTACAATGAGATGTGAATTTAAGGTTAGGGTTAGAAAAATGTATCCATGTAAGAAATTTGTAAAATTTTACTTTATTTTTAACATTACAATGTTCATTAATGACTTAAGGCTGTTATCTCTTGCTGCATATTTGTTGTTTATTGGAATGTAATTAAATTGTTTTTCTTAAATGCTCACTTTTTTGTCACACACTTATAGGATTTTCCTGTTCGTTAATTAACTGATATTGAGAAAGATTTTGTTAATTAAATAGTAGTGTTTTAACTTCTTGGTTAATATTACTGCTACTTTTTCCTTCTAAGAATAATTTAGTAGAAAGTAGATTTTCGTATGCTAAATAGGAGAAGAGATTATAAAGTCAGGTATACACTATAGGGGCACCTGTGTTTACCTGACTTTAAATACTCTCTTTGTATTTAGAATAAGAAAAAAGGATAAATGGAGAAGATGGCCTCGTCACTATATGCTGAGGTTAGGATGTCAGGGGGAAGACACAGTACTCTGTTAGTATCCTTGTGCCGGGAGACTTCTAAGGAAGGTAGGCCCCATGGTGAGCTTAGGGGAGGATGTGAGCAAGCAAGTTGAGAAGGCTTGGATGAATTGTGATGTGTTTTCTGTTATAGGGAATGTCCAGATCATTGAGATCACAGGTCTGTTTGAGAATTATAAAAACACAATAATAATGTGTGGCTTAAAAAGATAAATTGCCTTGTAATGTTGGAAAACAAAAACTATTTTATAACATTCTTTTATGACTTCTATTTTAATATTAAAAGATAGCATTATAGACACTGGGCATGCTTGATTTTGTTAGATGATGTGCTTTAAAGTAATCACCTAGCCCATTGGTGTCAGATTGAAAATAGGGACCACTGATCTGTACATCAGGCTCCCCGGAGGCTACGTATTGACTTAGTTTTAAAATGTAACATTATCTCTGTTTCATTGTATTTATTTATTTGGTAACATTTCCCAGGTACATTTTAATCTGGTTCAGGGAGTACTTGGGGGTGTTGTAGCGCACCCCGAGCTGTGTGTTTGACATCTCTGGTCTAGTCTCTAAACTTGATTGATCAGAGAGTTTTGCTTTCAGCCACCAGTTATGACTGCATTTGACATTGTTTGCATCGTTCTGTCCTAATCTGAGCCTTATTGGTTTGTTAGTGACACAGGGTTCAGGTTTTTCTTGTTCTTTTAATTTACATTGTTGTCGTTGTATGTGTGGTTCTACTTAGCTCTCCGCATCATTTCGTTCAGTTCTTCCCAAGTTATTCTCATAGTTACTATTTCTTACTGTGCAATGCTATTCTGTTACATTCATATACTACAGTTTAGTCATTCTCCATTCAATGAACACTCATTTTGTTCTTTGCTATCACAAAAAGTGCCGAATATGAATCTAAATATTGATCACCCGACTTTTCCACCTGTATCTCATGCTATTTCCCTTTATGGACTCAATGCTGCAGCTAAACAAGATTATTTAGTGTCTCTTGAATGTGCCTTGTACTTCATTGACTTTGTTCAAGCCGTTTCTTGTGCCTGGCATGTTTATCTAGCTAAGTGGTTCAGTAACTAGAGCATTGGACCAGGAGTCAGGAGTATCTGAGTTTAGATCCAGGTTCAGCCACTTCATAGTGTGTGTGACCTTGGGCAAATCGCTGCTTGCCTCAGTTTTCCCCTACTTTAAAATGGGGATAATAATAGCACCTACCTCAGGGTTGTTGTGAGGATTAAATGAGGTTAATATTTGTAGAGTGCTTGGCACAACTCCTGGCATATAGTAGGTGCTGTATAAATGCTTATTCTCTTCCTTTCCCTCCTCCTCACTTTTGAGTTCCTGCCCATCCTTTACAATCCAGTTTAGATGCTTCCTCATTCATAAAGCTTTTCCTAATTTTCCCCAAGAGTAATGACTTTCTCCCCTTAAATTTCACATAGCACTTAGTTATGAAATCTTTCCTTAATACACAGTGTTTTATCTACTATTTTTGCATTCTAATAGTGTGTGTGCCTTTTGCCTCTACTAGAATGGCTTCATAAGAGCTGTGTTTTCTCTAAACTTCATACCTTCCTCTGGACCTTGCACAGTGCTGTGTGCGCTGTTAGTATTTTACTTATTAAACATTTATTGTCTATTGTGTACAATAGCACTTGTGTAGTCAGGCATTTGGGAGGTAGAAAATTTAGAAGGTATATATATGCTTCGTGAGAGTAAGATGCTTAAATGAAGGAGTGTGTGGACTCAAAAAAATATAAGGCGTGCTTGGATGATAGTAACTACTTTAGTAGAGTGTCCATTTTTTGGGCAGGGGAAAGGAAATAAAACAGGAAAGAGGTCAAATTGTGGAGGACTTGGACTGGGGGACTAAAGAGGCTAGACTTTTATGTTGTAGGTAGTGGAAACCATCGAATGGTTTTGAATAGGGAAATGACATGAGGAAAATTGTTTTAGGAGTGATCATTTGGCACTAATATGCAGGGTGGATTGGTGGGAAGCTTATTTAAATTATTTCATTCTCTAAATATAATGATCCTGAATTATAAGCTGGCAGTAAGAATGGGAAGAATTTTTGGATTATCACATTTCAAAGGAAGATTATAATGACTGGATTTTTGGGGTAGAAGGAAATGGGAGGAGTTAGAGGTGATTCCACTCCTTTGAGAGTTTGGTGTCATTAGCAGAAACGAAAGAGTCAGGAGAGGGGTTAATTTTTGTTTCTCTCTGTCATCCCTCTTTGACCTCATCTGAGCAAATACCAAACCTACAAACAAAGCATTTTACTAAAACTAGTTTTCTGTATTCATGTTACTCTAAGATGGTAATGAGGGGCCTTCACTGAAGTCCTAGTCTAATGCCTTGTTATAGTTATATTATACAGGTGATCCTGAATTTTCAAAAGTTTTTCCAGTGAGACTCAGGCTTTAGCAAATTCTTACCAACATGAGAGGTCTAGGCCAAATGAAAGACTATTAGTCTGTTCTCTCAGGCTCAATTCAGAGAAGTTTGTCAAGAGAAGTGGTAAATTTGGGAGAACTATAATAACTCATTACACCTTGTGTTAAGGTGTAGTATATTTATTTGAGTACAACAAGAGTATGCCCACATGAACAAAATCATAGATCTTTGAAGTATAAGAAACACTAAAAGTTAGGTCTAGTGTTAAACAAGAAAAGGAAAGACTGCTGAATTACTATGGCTTAACTCTCTAGTTTAGTTAGAGCTAAGCAGCTGACAAACTTATAGACCATTTAGTGGCTTCTGTATCTATTCCAAAATATTTTCTCTTCCAAACACACAGTTCCTGAATATTTTCATTTCACTTTGTCTCTGAAATGACTCAACTAGGGATTCATTTGAATTTTCAAGCTTTTTGAAAAAAATGCAGGTCTCTCTATGGAGGTTTGCTAGGACTCAGAGTCATTAGCTTCCTTTAATTTAGGTTTTCTTCCTAACACAACTTGACAATTGGAATAAGAATTTTGTTTAGGGTGAAAGGATCATAGGTAATTTTGGGATATGAAGAACATTGGCAGGCATATATGAGTTGGGGATGATATAGTGAAAGGCCAAGGGGGATCACATTAGGGCACATAGAGGAATTACCACGAGATAAGAGAAAAATGTACAGTGGTAATGAAGAGGGTGTCAAAGACAAGTTTCACCTAGGGACTAACCTTCTTCACAGAGCAAAGGAACTAGAGGATCCACTAAATGACTTTGATTCATAATTCTAGCCACCCTCTTAGCCTTTTTCACCTCTACATTGTTTGATACTCTCACTTTGGTACCTAGTATTGTTAATTAGGCTGTGTTATCTAAAGTAGACTTTTCTTCTGAGATGGGCCTGGGAACCTAACTTACATTTCTAGCATTATTTCTATGAGAACATTCATTTTCACTTTCAAAAAACTGATTTGTAAAAATTAACAAACCATTTGTAAGTTGGGAACTATCTAAGAATATAATTTGGCTAGTTTATAAATTGCTTTAATCTCTGTTTTGCAAAAAGGGGGAGACAGTAGTTGTTAAAACATATTCTTCTGAACTCTGCTCAATAAAAATAGACATGGCAGCAGATGGATGTTAGATACTGACAGAAATGGATAAGGATGGATTCCTATTAAAAAGGTCTACAGCTAACAGAATTAGAATGCCTCACCATAGAATCTCTTAAAGGTGAAAAGACCACTTACAATTTCAGGTTTCAGGAGAAGTTGCTAAGAGTTAAAGGTGGGGTAGAATTTAAAATGTTGCAAAATAAGCTACAAAATCTTTTTATTATTGTGAAACCAGCTTTTTAACAAACAGACTGAATAAATTGGTATGATTAGCATTATTATTCCTGATTATTTAAGAATTATTGAAACTAATTCTATTTCTTATTTCATTGCAGGACTATTGGAATGTACCTCCTGTGATAAAATGAACCCTCCACTTCCACCCCATTGCCACAGATGCTGGGCTTTGCGAGAGAATTGGCTTCCTGAGGAGAAACGTGAAGTGTTGGATAAAGGCAAACTAGAAAGTCCCACACAAGGGGAAGAAGAGGGTTTTGATGTTCCAGATTGTAAGAAAAATAAAACGAATGACTCTCAAGATTCATGTGTTGAGGAAAGTGATGAAAAAATAGTACAGACATCAGACTCCCAAGAAAGTGAGGATTATTCCCAGCCATCAACATCTAAAAGTATCATCTGTAGTAGTCAGGAAGATGCTGGAGAATTTGAGAGAGAAGAAGCACAAGATAAAGAAAAAAGTATGGAATCTATTCTTCCCCCTAGTACAGTAGAGCCCTGTGTCATCTGTCAGAGTCGACCTAAAAATGGTTGCATTGTCCATGGAAGGACGGGACATCTCATGGCATGTTTTACATGTGCGAAAAAACTGAAAAAGAGAAATAAGCCTTGTCCCGTGTGTAGGCAGCCCATTCAAATGATTGTGTTAACTTATTTTCTCTAAATGTATTTACTAAAAGTGGAACTATGGAACCCTCTGTATGGAAACTCTTCAGAATGTTCACACACGGCTTGTGAAATTTATTTAAAATTTTATTTTTGTACATTTTTTTCTGAGAAAATGAATATTTTAATCCATCTTAGTTATCTCTAGTGCAATTTGCTTTTTGGAAGGAATTTTTTTATTCTCTTCCTTTGGGGAAAAAGAAATATTTTGGTTACTATTTTTTTCCATTTTTGCTTTATTTTTATTAGTTTTCATTTGTATTACTTCATAGAGGCAGCAGGGTATAGTGGATGGAGTTAAGTTCAGGTACCACATTGGACACTTAAAACTTATTTGACCCAGGATGAATCACTTAACCTCTTTGTGCCTTAGTCAATTCCCAAGACTTACTTGCTAAGTCAGATAATTTGGGACTAAGTCATAGACACTTGTATTGGGTATGTTGAAACTATAGATGCTTTATTGTTTGCTTCCATTGAGAATTAGTAGTTATTTTGAAGATTGACTGTTTCTGTTTGTTAAATAGTTCCCTGTCTTCTCTAGTTGGGGAATGTGAGATTTTTTTGAAAAATTCATGTAAATAGTAAATTTAATAAATATTATTTAAGTTTAATACTGTTGGTGAAAAGTGGTGATGATTGATGAAAATGCTTGTTTTTGAGTTGCAAATAAGATACTCTTCAGGTTTCTGATTCTTTGAAGTTTTATCTGTTCTTAGTTCCAAGAATCATAGAAAATACCTGCTAGGAAAAACCTCATAGTTTTCACTAGTTACGTAGAGAGCCTTTGCTTTTGTGTATACAAACACAAAATAAGGATGGCTTTATGTTTTTTTAAGAGCCCATTGTAATTAATTCTTTCTACATTCCTTTGCCACCAGGACCACACCAGGAGAGTCTTTTTAAGGGCCCCAAGTGCAAATTAGCCCTTCGAATGAATGATAGCTTACCCTAGACCTTTACACTTAAAGTTAGGATTTGAATTGGGAAATATCTGTTTCTATCAAGTTGAATGTAATACAGATGTGACTCAGTGTATTATCTTGGTCTGGATACATGGCCTCAGATAGGTGTTTAGGTTTTAACATAATCAGGGCCAGTTTTAAAACCTTAACAAATTCAGAAATTACACAAATGGAAAGCACTTACAGAATCTTTTATTATTTAATTTTTTCAGGCTGCTAATAAAATATTTACTAGATGGTAGTTAAACCATTTGCCACTTGGCTTGATTTTAATGTTTTAAAAGTTGGGGACATCAGCACGATTATTTAAAACATTTTAACACGAATTTTTGCTTTTCCAGGCACCTCTCAAGTTATGATTTGTTTTTTTGGGAGCCGATTTGCCTTCATAATTATTGTTTCTTAGTCTGTGAATTCCCAGAGCCATAGACTGATTTGCTGATTGGAAAGTGAATTCAAGTTTGAAAATTTGTCACAAAAATTTACAAGGCTAATTGGAAGTTGATTATAGATGTGTTTGTGGAAGTTAATAAAGAAAATAAAATATACTAGACCCTGTTTCTGTTTATATTGAAGAAGACTGGTAGTGAATCAGATAGCTGTAGATCCAGATCATTTCCTTAGGATGTCTGCTCCAACTCTGATGCTCAGCTTGGTCCCACTTGGCACTCATGGCTGCTATTGGTAGGTGTCCAGTCTGGTGTGTGTGACAGTGCTGTTAAGTACAACTCGTACTGGAATCAAAGTGCTATGGCTTGTACCACTCAATGGCACTGCTCCCTGTTGGACTCAGTGTTGGTGATCACTGGCTGCTTGGTGCTAAAAGTGGAAATAGTAGATGTGCCAGATAGGGCAGCTCCTGTAAGTGACAACGGGTAGCAGTTGGCCTGGTGGGGTTGGGGTGGTGAAGCAGGCAAGGACTGGACCTGAATAGGAACATCGACTGAAGGAGCTTGGCCAGAGTGGCATTCGATTCAATATACGTTACAATTCAGTATACATGTTTTGATTTGCACGGCACTTTCCTAGGCACTGAAAAGAAATACTGAAAAATAAAACAGTTCCTCTCCTCACAGACTTTACAGTCTAGTCTAGTGGATGAGACAGGTACGCTAGAAGTTGTAATGCAAGTTAGCATGAGAGATTGGAGAAGTTGATGGGAGTGGTTGAAGTGCACTGAGGATTCTAAGAGGTATAAAATTTTGGAAACGGGTGGGTGGGTATTGGGGTGGGGATGTAGTCTAATGTAGAACCGAGCATAGAATGTATTAAGGAGAGAAGAACTTCGAAATAAAGCTGGAAAGTTGGAGCTTAGACTTAATTTTATCTTTGATTTAGGAGATGTATTTCCATACCTTATGGAGTGGCCTAGGGGCATTATTATAAATGTCAGTCACCATTGTCAGTACTGTGAAATAATTCTAACTCCTAGGACTAACTAGGATTAGTGAGGGGTGGAGTTGGATGCTTGAAGACATGGGAGTTTGCTATATTTAGTCTGATGCCTCATGCCTCTTAGCTTTCCCTGACATCTTTAGATTGGTACTCAGTGAAAATATCTCCGAATTCTTTTTAGGGTAATTTTTAAACACTTAGAAGTTCTTATTTATACAAAAGCTAAGCTGTAGACATCAAATGTTACTACTATGACTTTTTAAAATGCCTGCATAAAGTTTTTAATTTGAAACTTTGGTACAGGAGACTATTAGAATAAATATAAGTGAAATTCACATTGCTTAACATTGTTATTATATATATGTGTATATGCATTTATGTATACATGTGTATGTATATATGCATATACGTATATATATGTATGTATGTATATATACATATATGCATACAAACACACGGCGGGGAGTGTGTGTGTAGAGTATTATTTGATTAGGATTCAATTGTTTTTGCATGCCAGTAGGTAGTGGTTAAACCATAGAGGGCAGAACTAAGGTAGGACTAGGGAGGAGTTAAAGGATGGCAGATTTCCACTTAATATAAAGGAAAATAAATGTCTTTACAAGTAGAGCTAAGAGTCAGACTGACTGCCTTGAGTAGTAGTGAGTTTTTCATTACTGGAGGATCATGTAGATAGCATTCTTGAGCTCTGTAAATCCATGACTACAATATAAAATGGTCAAAAGAAGAGCAAAGAAGTAGAAAGCTAATTGGAACATCAGTATGAATATTGAGTTGGCTCTACTCTGCTTTGAATAGTTGTGAAACACGTGTGTATGTATATATGTATGTGTGTGTGTATGCATACATATGTGTGTATACATGTACATGGTATAGTGTATATATAAGAATACATACATATACTTGTATACACACAGGTTTTTTGTTTTTTAGAGTAATTTGTTAAACATTTACCAGCACATCTCTCTAGAAATAATACCATGACATAAATTGGGATAAAATGGAATTGTAATTGAATTGAGGCTAAATACAGCATGCTTTAAGAAAATTTAAAAAAAATTTTCCCTTAAAATTATTCTTCTTCCTCACCCTTCCCTTTTTTTGGGGGGGGGGGTGCAAGACTTTTATGCATAGTCAAGCAAAATTGATTCTTGCATTGGTCAAGTCCAGTAACTAGGTCTCAGTCTGCACCCTGAGTCCATCACCCTTCTGCCAGGAGTTAGGTAGCGGTTTCATCGTGAGTCTTCCTGAGGTGTTGTTAGTCACTGGATAGGAGCTTTTTAAGTCTTTCAAACTTGTCTTTATAATATTATAAGTATATAATTTTTTCTCCTGGGTCTAGTCACTTAACTTTGCATTAGTTCATAGAAGTCTTCCTACGTTTCTCCGAAATTGTCTCTTATCATCCTTTTTATATTTCTTACAGCACAGTTGCAATTCCATTATATATTCATGTACCACACTTTGTTCAGCCACTCCCCAGTTGGCGGATATTCCCTTAGTTCCCAGTTCTTTGCCAACACAAAAAGAATTGTTATATTTTTGAACATTTGGCTCCTTCTTTTATCTTTTTGGGATATGAACTTAGTCATATTGCTGGGTCGAAAAGGGTGCACAAAAGTACTTTACATTATGACTAATCGGGAAAAAAGTTCTACCAATAGTACATTAATAAACCTGTGTGCTTACAGCCCCTCCAGCAGTTATCATTTTCTTATATGTTTATATTTTTTAAATTTGGAAAAATTAACAATGTTTTCTTTTAAAAGCTGTTTTTAATGCTTCATCTTTACTATGGGTTGGACTGTATAATTTCTGGGATGCCTTCTAACTCTGGCTTTCTGTGATTGATTGCAAAAGAAATTTAAGATCATGCTTACAGAAAGAACATATCTCCAATAGTCTCCTGGACTTAGCCAATGGAATATTCTATTAGCCCCTGAAACTTATAAGGTCCTCCAGAAGAAACCTTCACATTTGCATTTTGCTAAAGTTTTTAGTAAATAAGTTTTTTTTTCTGCTCTTTTTAGCTACCAAAGTATTCACATACAAAAGGGGCAGCACCTTACATCTTTTATAAGTAAATCTAAGCCTTCTTATTTATGCAAAATACATTTTCTATCCCCTTAGCAACCAAATTCTATTTCTTTACACATTTTTTTTTTGGTAGCAGTTTTTAATTAAAGACAAATTCTTTGTCTCTTTCAGCCACCAAACTGTTCACCTATGAAAGGGGCAATAGCGTACATTCTTCCCCAAGCTGACTTATTATTTTTCTTTATGCAAAAACTTTTTTCTGCCCTTTTTTTTTAACCAAATAAGCTATGTATCTTGGAGTTGGAAGGAATCTCTTCAGTCCAAACCCTACCCAAACAGGAATTCCATCCAAAACATCCCTGACACATCCCAGCTTCTAGTCATGTACCATTAGTGATGACTATCTCCTGACTCCCCTGAGGCATCCCGTTCCATTGTTAAAAACTTGTTTTGAAATCTGCTTCCCATGCATTGGTCATATGTTCCTGCCTCTTGGACCTAGTTGAAAAGTCTCTCTTCCCAGGGACAGAATTTCAAGTATTTGAAGATTATTATGATCTCTCTTCTCACGGAATCTCTAGTTCCCCCATTGTTGTTCAGTCATGTCTGACTGTCCATGGAGTTTTCTTGTCAAAGATTCTGGAGTGTTTTGTCATTTCCTTCTCCAGCTCATGTTGCAGATGAGGAAACTGAGGCAAACAGGGTTAAATGACTCGCCCAGGGTCACACAGCTCAGGGGCTGAGGCTAGATTTGAATTCAGGTCTTCCCAAATCCAGGCCCTGTGTTTCATCCACTGAGCCTAATTGCTTCAGATAGTCATAAAATCTTAGCATTAAAAAGGATTGTGGAGGTCATCCAGTCTGGTACTCTCTCAACTTTTTTTTGAATGTACCCCAATATGTTTGTATAACTTATAAATTATGTAATGTACCACTATTCTAATAATTGTGTGTATTATAAAGCTTGTACAAAATAGATATTTTTAAGTAGATGAGAAAGATGAAATGATAGTTGATCTTATGACCAGTAGGGAGGCACTAGAATTTATAGAGCAGGGTAGCAATGTGGTCAGACCTGTGTGTAGGAAAATCCCTTTGACAGCTACGTGGATGATGGATTGGAGAAAGGAAAGACTGAAGCAGAGAGACTAAATGAGGGAGTATCACAGTAGCTCCAGTGAGAGGGGATGGGGGCCTGAGCTAAGGCGGTTGTGTTGAGAGAAGAAAGGAATAGCATTTGAGAGAGGTGGAGGCAGAATTGACAGGACTTGAAAACTAACCAGATATCAGGAGTGAGAGTGAGTAGAGAATGACTGTGAGGTTGTACACCTGGGCTGACTGGATTTATAGTCCCCCAAAACTCCTGGATCGTTTTATACAAACCATTATCTACCTGACATCCCATGAGATACCTCTAGTATGTGTTAATTCCATGAACCAAAGCATAGAAACTTATATTTATCCCAAGTAAATTTTCATCTTAGTAGATTTGGGCCATTACCTTAGCTTGTTTGAGATCCTTTTGGATCTTAACTAATCCTCCAAAATGTTAGCTGTTCCTTGAAGCTTCATACTATCTTCTTTGATATCTTCATACTTTGATGAGCACAGCATCACTCAAGCAATGCCTTCATTCAAGTGGCTGGGCACCGAATGGCACAAGATCATGGATGGCTCCTTGGAGAACCATGCTAAACCACCTCTCTCCCAGGTGGACACTAGCTCATCAATGACTACTTTTTGGGTCCGGTCATTCAGTCAGTTCTGAAAATCAACCTTTTATCATCTAGTACACATGTCTTCATTTTATAAGATTTACAAAGCAGTTTGCATACACTATCTTATCTACAAGGAGAACATGGAGGATTTTAAAAGACTGAAAATTGGAGTAAGATTTAACATGGAAAGACAGGGTGAGTAAAAGGGCTATTCTCAGTTCCTGCTACAGAAGGGACCACTGCTTGACCCCAGGACAGTGCAGTGACATGCCTTGGTTGTTCAGCCAGGTGGTGGCATGAATATGGATTTCCTTATCGGTGACTGTCTAAACCCCTACATGACTCTCTTGGTTACATACCTAGAGGCATTCTGTATAAAAGAGACTACCTTTATTAAGCTTGTTGAAACCTTTATATCAGTTGAACAAGAGATATTAGAAAGGCTCCCTGGCATGGAATGGATTAACTGGATCTTTAATGGGGTTTCCCCTGACTGTTGGAAATATAAGCTTTTTTTTTTTAATTGTTTGGTCAATTAGCTGTGGCTGACTCTTCGTGACCTCATTTGGGGTTTTCTTGGCAAAGATACTAAAGTGGTTTGCCATTTCCTTCTCTAGCTCATTTTATAGATGACGAAACTGAAGCAAACAGGGTTGTGGCTTGTCCAGGGTTACATAGCTAGTAAGTGTCTGAGGCCGGATTTGAACTCAGGAAGATGAGTCTTCTTGACTCCAGGCCTAGAGCTCTATGCACTGTGCCACCTAACTGACCTAACTGGAATAAGCTTATTCCAGTAAAAATTCTTTTTCTTACCATATTGTGGACTTCCTCATCTTTGTGTTCTCATTATTTGAATCCAAGACCTGTAGTGTGTATATATATGGTGACATTATCAAATACTTTGCCAGGCGCAAGTATAAGTTGTCTCTACTGTTTTCTGATTTATTAGACTAGTAGCCCCCCTTTTTTTTTTTTGGAACAAACAATGATATTGGCCTAGCATAACTGATTTATTGGTGAAGCCACAGGTCACTCAGTGATCACTGCTTCAGTCACTAATATTTTAATGGATCCAGGATCTCATAGATGAGAGTACTTACTGTATCAATATAATGTGTAACCTACCCATGCCTGTTTACTCTAGGTGATTCTTGTCCTTTCTTTTCCCATGGATACCCTACAAAAGATCCACCCAGCATGCCAAAGGCTCCCCTTCTTTAGGATTTTTCACATTGTGTAAGTACCGATGTAGCACCGGGGCTGTTGATCTGCTCTCTTCTCACTATAGACTCCCCCTTCCCTTTCTTTGCCCACATCTTTCCTGGACGTAGTTGTTGCCACCCATTACACATAGGTCCATCAATGTATGTGTACTACAGTCTATTTTCGCCCACTATATTTCTCTCCATGCCTTTTGAGACACCTGCAATTTTTCATTTTACATTGTGATGGTCCAAGATTTATATCCACAAAGCATCCCCAGGAAAACATTGCTGTTAGGAAAGATTGCTTCTTGTGCCAGGTTGGGATCATTAAAAGTATTGCATTAATTTCCCAAGTTTGATCTAGCCTGCTCTTTCTCAGTTTAATTCTGGGCTTACAGTAACTTATTAACTTGGGCTGTGTATAATAATGGTACACTCAAGGGCTCCGCTAAATATTTCCAAGTCATTGACTTTTATACTGCATAGGAGTATAGATTTAGAGCTGGCAAATGCCTCTGAGGCCATCTACCCAATCCCCTCATTTGCTCATAAAGAAACTAAAGGCCAGAGTGGTTAAATCACTTGCCTAAAGTTACAGAAAGAGCAAATAGCAGGGCAGGGATTTGGTCCAAAGTCCTCTCACTCCAAATCCAGCATCTTTTTCAAAACACACTTCTGTTGTCTTTTTCTAGTTCTTTTTCCTTTGATGTCAGTTTTACCTTCTAGAGGCTAGGGTGATTGTTGTTGCTTTTCTAATCTCCTGTCTTTTTTTTTTTTTGACTGTTGTTTGGTCATACTGGACTCTTCGTAACCCCATTTGAGGTTTTCTTGACAAAGATACTGGAGGGGTTTGCCATTTCCTTCTTTAGCTCATTTTACAGATGAGGAAACTGAGCAGATAGGGTTAAGTGACTTGCCCGGGGTCACACAGCTATAGTGTCTGAGGCTGCATTTGAACTCAGGAAGATGAGTCTTCTTGACTCCAAGCCCAGTACTCCATCCACAGTGTCATCTACCTTCCTGTATTTTATATACAAGTCTAAATGAATGAGCTTGAAAGTGAGGCCTTGACTCAACTTACCTAAAATGCATTGGCTTTGTGAAAGTCATGTTCCTTATAGCTGCGGTCCTCCCCCTGCTCCCAGTCGATATTGTAGATAGTTAAGGTGACCAGAAAGTGAAAAATATTCAAATGAAAATTTAGTAATACAGATTTTATATAATTACAAGACCAATTTAATCACCATGAAGACTTTCTTCTGCAATGTGCTTTCAAGATACATGTAAAAACATAAAATATCAAAACATTTGGTTAATTCAACCAGAGCATATAAGAATACTTTTATAAACTGTGCACACTGACACAACATATTGTAAATACAGATACAAAGCTTTAAGAATTTTTGCGTTATGTATTTCTGTCCTAATGGTTTAAATAAAAGGGAGGAAAATGGAGACATTAACAGGTGCTCCTCCATGCTGATTGATTACCATACAGTACCTTTAAGTAAAGTGCTAACAGCAGTAGGAAAAGCTGGGGGGAATCAGCCGTGGTGGACCAAACTTGAATCTTTATCGCTCATCTCCTAGTGAACCATCATGACTAATTTGTATTAAGAGTATCGTGATGTAGGGTACAATTATATAGAGAAAGCAAATTCCTTCTCTTAGGAGATTGGATCATTTGGTTCCTTTCTACATGGTCCCCTTTTTGTTTTTCTATATTTTAAGCACCCTCCAGTTTCAAGGCACAATTGAACAGATTCAACATGGTCTCTGTGCCTTATGAGCATTTTTCAATATGATAAGAACAATTAAAGAAATTAATTCGCTTCCTGTGTTGAGTTTCTCAGAGGCTGTTTGGCTCACCAGAAGTAGATGGTATTTTTCTCATTTGTTGTGTAGGTCAAATTCCATTATGGTGTTAACCCTAAGGAAAATGACCAGCTGGTCTAAACATACGGGCCACACCTCTGAAATGAGATTTCTTTGAAAATACACCAATTGTGGGACACACCCAAACAATCCTATATTCAGAAGAGTACGTTTTTGGTACTTCTATTTTGTTGTATTTTGAGTATTGCTTGAAGTGTTAGAACAGAGATTTCACTTATATAGCTATCCGTTACAATCAAATTAATTGTAATGGTACTTATGGTAACATACTGTTTTAAGAGCACCAATAATAATAACAACAACAGTAGCAGTAACAGCAATAATAATGTTTGGCTCAGTAAAGCCATTGTTTCTAGATTTATTTACTGACTTAAATATGAACACTCTATGTGGGTTGCTAGTGCGTGGAGATGGCATTGCTTCAGGACATGTTTCCGTCAGGGGATCCAGGATCCTACACAGCTTCTGAGTAGGGGCCTGTAGTAGGACTATACTCCTGGAATCCTGCTCCTATGGCTCCATTTGGTCCTGCAGGCCCTTTGTCAATTCATTGGTGAATACACCACATTCCTCATAGCACCAGTAATGGCATTCATACCTAGACAGTTTGCACTTGGTATCGTTCTACAATCTATACCCTCCATATGACCTCTCCATCTTCTGCCAGAATTCCTGACCTCTATGATTTTAATATGCCAAACAGTAGAAGCAAGTCCAAACTAGGAGGACAGATGAAGAATGTGCTGGAAGCGTTAAGGAGAAGGGAGAAAAGACTGGCTAGTCGTTAAAAAAAAAAACCAAACAAACCAAAAAACTGATCTCTGACCTCAATGAGACAATGTCTAGCCTTGTCCTGATGTAGTGACCAGTCATCTTGGCAAAGCAGGTTTCCACATTTTACTCCGGTCCAGCCAGCTAATGTAACTTTAAATATTGACCAATAATTCTAGCATTCATTTTCTCTAAACCCTACAAAAAATCTTTGTATCCCTGCACCACCAGCCTCCACCACTTGACAAAGGTCTTGTGTTAATTGATTGATTTTGATCTCACTCTTATGAATTCATTTATTGTGCAAAGTGGGTTAGTTCCATTTTTCTTCTTGTAGGAACTACTTTATATGCATTAATTTTTATGTTTCCCAAAATGACTTCAAGCCTAGCCACAGTACTAATTGAGAAAGTAGTGGAAGCAGCTAGCATTATGTGCCTTCCTCTTCATATCTTCCTTTCTTTGTGATATACAGGTATACTTTCTCCAAGGTAGCCTTTGGGCCTAATTCAGCTCCACTAATAATCTCGGAACTTCTATGAGTCACCCATTTACCCTCCCTCCATAGCCTTCCCAAGTTAAAGGTTTTCCTTCCCAAGTATCCTACTCAAAGAATTCCCATGCTAATGGAGGTGAAAGAGGGCTGAATTAAGCTCTTAATGGATTGGGCTGTTAAGGCTGATTGTTTTAAAGAAAGGGTTTTAAATTCTTTTTTGTGTGTGTTTTTGACCATTTTTGCAGTCAGATGAAACATATAGACCCCATCTCAGAATAATATATTTTTAAAAAATAGTAATTGAAGTAAATGCTAAATTTCAGTGAAAATATTTAATCCCTCTCCCCACCCCCCATCTCAAGTTTATGGCCACCTGAAATCTATCCATGCATTTCTTGGTAAATAGGTAAAAAGTCCTGTTTTAAAAGCTGAAGAATGAGAGGTCATTCAGAGATCAGAGCTTCCAAGTGACAAGGTGAAAATACATACACTTTGATGAATCAGATGACAGATGGTCAAGACCTAAGGCAGGTTTGATAGACCAGGGGATGATTCTGGTCTCCCTCAAACCCTGCCTAGCTGTGATGGAGCCAGCAGGTTCTACTGTGGAAGTTGAGGGAAGACCACCTTACCCACCTTAACAAGTACCTGACATTCCATTTTGGAATTTCTGAGCAGCATCATTATGGGCATGATTCTGGCATGATTTTATGAGCATCTTACAATTATTACGGAGGTTATTCCACCTAGTTTGAATGATTCAGGAATATCCAGCTCTGTGGGAAATGAATGCCCCCCCATCTTAGGGAAAAGTCCATGGAGACCAGGCAGCTGAAAAGACAGAGTGGGCAAGGTTGAGGTGGCCTGGCTTGAAGGGATGGTAGTTCGTTACACATCCTGGAATTGGGGTAGGGGGAGGTACAGTTCTCATGGTTTACTTTATGTGAAAGATAGACACAAAAGTCAATAAAAATAAGACGATAAAACGTGACTTCAGTCTATCAGAATGGCTCCTAAAATACATGTAAAGAGGAACCTCAGAACATGAAACCTGGGTGGTCACATTATAATTTGATTTCACTTGGAATGGGAAATGAAAGTCCATCCTAAGCGCGGTGGAGTTCTGCATGTTCTCTGGTATGGTCACTTGCTTTAGGATTGTTTCACTGTCCAGGGACAGTAGCCTGAGGAGAAACAAGAAACATCATTTCACTCAGTTCAGAAGTCCCCACTTTGCCAGCATGTTCTACACTGAAAGATGAAAATATCATCTTCGTGCAGTTCCCACAAAGCTTTGCTTGGGCGCCTCCCCAGTCAAGGTCAGAATCCTTCCCGAGCACTCAATGAGCTTTCCAGGGACCCTGGATAGGAATCAAGGCTGATAAAGACGTAGCCAAGAACTGTAAAATGGAACAAAGTCCAGGCATGCAGCTGAGAAGTAGAAAGCAAAAGGCTAATTATAATTCTACCCTGGTCCTCTTCTGGGGATGGTGACCAAGCCCTCAGTGAAGGCAAATGAGTGGATTCCAAATTTACACCAAAGGGAATAAATGTTCCTGGCTGCCTCCCAGGACGTGTCACAATATTTGTAAACAAAATAAGCACACACAGTCAGCTTCCTAGCAATTTGTTCTCTCCCCAGAGTTAATTTAAGCTTGCTGCCTGAATGCCTTCCAAAAGAACTTGAAATAGGCCCCTATATCCATCTTGGGAAATTGGATTTTTGTCTCTGTCGGTTGTCATAGTCAGGGATGTAACCCATCCTGGCATGTAGGGGTGCAGCACCCCAGAATTGCTCCCTCTTTCAGCTTCAGGAGGGAGATATTAGGCAGCAACCTTTCCAGCACTACACAGCCCTGCATTCAGAGGGTGGCCCGTGATCCTTGGTTGTTGAATTAGCAGAGGGGAAAGAGGAAGACTCTTAGCCTGGAGCCCTGTCACCAGCTGGCTGAACCAGCGATCACCTCAGATCAGCCAGGGTGAAATGACAACCAATTGGAATGGTCCTTGACTGTACTGTTGCTGATTGATAGCTCATTCAGCCAATGATTGATTGGCCAAAAGGAGGGGGAGGGGATCCAAGCTGATTGGCAGCTCATTCAGCCAGTGACAATGGTGAAATGAGAGAGAAAGGGAGAGGGGGCAGGAATCAGCTCTCTACCCCTTATAGTTGTATGGACCTTTTATTGATTTTTGGGGCTCCTAAAAGATAAGGTTCTGGTCAGTGTCTTTGCCAGCACCCGGATTGAATGCCTTTCTCTTTTTCTTTCCTTCTTCATTTATTTATCCAAACATTTTCTTTATATTGATCATTTCCAAATTTATCCCTCCTTTACCTAACAAACCACCCCTTGTAACAAAGACTGAAAAAAAAAAGACAGGAAAAAAAGCAGTTTAGCAAAACCAAAGGCTAACCCACAGAAAAACTGCATCTGACAGTATGCATGATTTCATACTTATGGTCAGTCCCCCACCTCTGCAAAGAAAGAAAGGAGGCAGTGCCTAACATTTCTTAAGAGGGAAAATGGTCAGAAAAAAAGGTTGCAATCAGATGCTCATACCCCAAAATGCTGTCTGTACGTCATCCGTGGTATGTGGAAGTACGAGGAGCCTGAGGGGGGGGAATGCCAGAATGCCAGCTGGAAGAGAGCTGGGTGATTCTTTAGTATAGCTTGTATCTGACCAAGAATGCCTTATAACACCCCCAACAAGTGGTCCAGACTGCCTCCAGTGAGTGGGAACACATTACCTCCTGAAACAGCGTATTCCAATTCTTGCAGAGCTCACACTATTTTTTCTCATATCACCTCTAAATCTGTATGTTGTATCTGCTGCTCCTAATTCTGCCCTCAGGGCTAAGTAAAAGTTGTCCTTTTTCCAGGTGACAATCCTTCAGATACTCGAAGATAGGTATCATGGTCTCCTCCCTCTCCAAGTTTTCTTTTCTACAAGGTAAACACCTTGAGTCCTTTCAACTGATCCTTAAATGATACAGGTTTGAGGCCTGCCCTTCCCCATCTTATCCTGATTTAAAGGGTAATTTAGTTTATCAATGTCCTTTCTAAAATGTGCTCAGAACAGAGCACAGCACTCCATATATCTGGTTAAAAAGTCACATCAAAACAAAATTCTTAGTTCTGACCTTCGAGGTTTCACCGCCAAATATTTTATAAGAGCTGTAGTAACTTCAGGCAATTTGTTTTAAGCCAGGCTGGTTAATGGGGCATAAATAATTCAACACCTGGTACCTATGGGTGCCTTCTTATATACAAGACTGCACAATAATTTTTTGATTTACAATGAAGACTCACAGTCTGTCTAATAGTTAAAATGTTTGCATAGATTTTAACACCCAAAGACTCTAGAATGAAAAATCCAAGGCAGCAAGCTTAATGTTTACTAAATGGGCAAATAATTTTGGTACAAGTCATGCAGAATCCTTTGGGGTGTTTGGCATGTCCTTGGACTCAAAGGAAGCTCCGGTACTACAGAGAGCAATTAATTTTATTCATTAGATTTACTCCACCCAGGTGTATGGGTTCCTAGCCAAAAGGAAATACCACAGTGAAATCCAGTGTACACAGAAGGGTTAGGGTTACTGCTACTTTGGGGGGAAAAAAGGGGGTGGTGGTGGAGTAAAAGTCCCTTTTAAGCAAGGAAGGCCAAACTCTTAAGGATCATCATATCACAGATTTAGAGTTAGAAGGGATCTCAGAGACCATGTAGTCCAATCCCCTCATTTTATATATGAGGAAACTGAGTGACCTGACCAAGGTCACTCCCACAGCTGGTAAATGTCAGGGCTGGGATTTGAACTCAGGACCTCTTTTCCAGTATACCTGCTTCCCTAATCACAGTACATCAAGAAGGTCCACTATATTCTGACCAAAAAAGTGAGGAGTAGGATCTCCTTTGAAGGGATAAAGACCCCTTTCCCCTACCTCCTACCCTCTTCAAATCAGTGCAAAAGCACTGTTTTGACAATATATAGTGGAGGTAGTAGGCAGCTAGGTGGTGCAGTGCATAAAGCATTGGGCTTCTTCCTGAGTTCAAATCTGACCTCAGCCAATTACTAGCTGTGTGACACTGGGCAAGTCACTTCACCCCGTCTGCCTCAATTTCCTCATCTGTAAAATGAACTCAGGTATCTTTGTCACAAAAACCCCAAAATGGGGTCACTAAGAGCTGGACATTACTGAAACTGAACAAAAAAGATGAGTCTTCCTGACTCCAGGCTTGGAACTCTATCCACTGTGCCACCTAGATGCCCTAAAAGTTAATAATGCAGTTAATAACTTAAAATTGTGTGAGTACCCCTCCCTCCCAGAACCTAGTTGTTAAACATTTACCAGCACACCCTGGAATTGCTCTGTTAATATTGCTTGAGCTTAGCAGGAATGCAGTAAAAGGCTGAGGGAATGAAGTCATGGAGGCCTGGTGACTTTAGACTAACAGCTACTACTACTACTACTACTACTAGTACTACTACTACATCAGCAAGCGGTATTTATATAACAAAATGCTTTACACTCTCATTTATTTATGCTCTCATTTGAGACTCACAAACACACCTGCCTGGAGGTAAGAGCCCATAAAGACACACTTCAATACACCACAATTCTATTCTATTTTGAACCCTAGGATGAATTAACTCTGTAAGCCTATGGTTTAAGTTAGGCTGAGGGAATGTGTAATACCAATTTACACGGCATTAAATTGGTTACAGGGCAACTAAGTGGCACAGTACAGTAGAGTGCTGGGTCTGGAGTCAGGAAGATCTCAGTTCAAATGTGGCTTCAGACTTTTACTATCCCTTGTGTTCCTGGCCAAGTCACTTAATCTTGTTTGCCTCAGTTTCCTCATCTGTAAAATGAACTGGAGAAGAACATAGCAAACCACTCCAGGATCTTTGCCAAGAAAACCCAAAATGGGGTCATGAAGGGCCAGGCGCGACTGAAATCACTCAGTAACAGCAAACACAACTCCCCATTCTTGTTGTTGTCATCAATTGACCTTCAGGCCACTGGTCAACTTTCTCAATGTTTGGCTAACATGATTTCACTTCTTCTCTCCATTTCAATCTCTTCTGTCCTCCTGGGTGACATTAGTGTCCGTGATGACAGCCCTTCTAACAATCTGACCACACAATTTCTCAACCTAAAGACCTTTTTATCCAACACATGTCATTGACACTAACACACTGTAGTCTTCACCATCTCTTGAAACTGCCATTCCTCCAAGATCTTGAACTTTGAAATTTCTCTCTCTGACCATGGCCTTCTACTTCTTCCACTCTTCCACCTCTTCCATTGTCCCTAAACCTAATCTGCACTTTTACTTATGGCCTCTTGACCCATCCTAAGTCTCCTACTTCATATCCCACACTTTGGCTTTACTTACCGCCATGCCATTTTATTAGCTTCTACCTTAGAATCACTTGACCCTTGCATGGTCTTCAACCAGTCCTGAATAGAAAATTATCATCCCTAAGTGATTCAGACTTCTGACTTCTCTGCTTTAAGGTGTATTGCTGGTAAATGCCACAAAATGAAAATGAACTGTCACCTACTATACCTCCCTCCCAACTATTTGATAACTTTTTTATTTTGGCCTTAATTTCTCCCTACAGAGATTGTTCTAAACCTTATTTTTCCCCCCTCTTCTTGTACCCAACTACAACCCACATGGAGAAGACAGAGATTATTTGAAGGGCGTGCTATTATCTCTCCTCCTAAAAACCTCTCAGCATCGTCTTCCTTCTGGCCACAGAAGGAAAAGTTCCACAGTCTGTGATAAAACTAATTACCTTCCCCTGTGCCCTTGAACCCGCTTACTCATGCATCTTCAAGAGTTGTCTGTCCATCTGACCCTTCTCATACACTGATAAGAATGCTCAAGTCTTCCTAATTCCAAATAAGCCTTGCTTTACTATTCTACTCCAACCATTACCCCATGTTTCTTCCCTGTCACTGCCAAATGCTTTGAAAAACAAACACAAAACAAAACAACTACATCTATTTATGTCATATTTATGTGACTTCCTAGGCTTAATCTCCAGCTCTGACTTCTATTCTCAGCTGCAGACCTGCATCTTCAACAGAATGTTCCCTTAGCACCTCAAACTCAGTATGTTCAAAATGGAGCTTGTCATCTTTCCCAATATACTTATTCCTCCTTTAGACTTCATACTGTCTATGGTAACACAATTCTCCCAGTCTCCCAAGTTTGAAACCTTGATATTATCCTCATCTTCCTTACTGCTTACATTTTATCAGTTAACAAACCAGTCTCTGCAATGTCTCTTGAATCTTCTTCCTCCTCTCTATTCCCAATGACATCCCCCTAGTTCAGGCCCTTACTGTCATCAACTTAGACTATTAAGTCTATAATACATAATATTATCTATAATAGTTATATTACATATAATATATAATAATAAGTATAATATAATATAATATAATATAATATAATATAATATAATATAATATAATATAATATAATATAATATAATATAATATAATATAATATAATATATAAAAGTCTGCTTAGTAGGTCTTTTGGCCTTTCCTTTTTCCCTTTTATAATCCATCTTTATCCTGATGCCAGACTAATCTTCTGTGAGGACCAAGGAATAGAAGTTATAGAAAAGCAAATTTTGGCTAGATCTAAGACAAAAAAAACCCCTTCTGGTCTAAAAGTAGAAGAAGCCACCTGGTGAGGTTTTGGGGAAGAAAGACCTAGAGGTCTTCAGGCTAAGGCTGCATAATCACTTGTTGAATATGTTATAGGAGATGCCTTTCATGTATGGGTTGGACCAGAAGGGTGTGGACATCTCTTTCCAACACTAAAATTCTCCAACACTAAAATTCCAGTCACTGGAGATCATCTATCAGACATTGGATGAAAACGTTGTAGGGATGTTAAGGAGGGTCTCAAGTATTGGTTAGAATAAATTACTTCTCACACCCCTTCAGTGCTGGCCTTCTTAAACTCTAAATATTTGGGATATGGTCTGCCTTTCAAAAAAATGCTAACTGACCAATAAAAATACTAACTGGCCAATATTTGATGTGACTTTTTCCATAGCAGGCTTTTCAAAAAAATTGCTCTTTGTTGTATTATGTCAAATTTATCATTATCCCTTCTCTCTACCCTTAGGGATCTCTAATTCTTGAGCTTTCCTAAAGGTTTACTTTTAGTTGCCGTCCCTGCCTCTGTCTGAACTGCATCCCTATGAGGGAAGCAAGGCAGTTATTGGATTCTATAGTTCTTGGGTCTTTTTAAGGTTCCAGAGATATTGTTTTAGAGCCAAGTGATCCCTCCAGCCATAGCCTCTTTGATGTCATGCCCAGTGAAACTGTTTTGGGGAAAGCCTTGTCTTTTCAAAGTGAATTTGAACCACATCACATTATATGCTTACATTTATTGTATAGGATCCAGGCAGAAGAAGAAGATAATATTCTCCAAATCTGTTGGTTCGGTAGGGGCATATGTGTTTCCTGTCATTAGACTCCACTATTGCATTTGGTATTGGATTTTTGTTCACATCAAAAACTTGACCTTTAATACCTGCAAAGCAAAAAATAAATAAACAAACAAACAAACAAACAAACAAATAAATAAATAAATAGGGAGTGTAAATCTCCAGAGCCTATGAGAAGAATAAAACTTTTTTTTTCATTTAAAATATCTGGCCAATTCTTTAGTTAGTGATACAACTCATGTCTCCTGCTGCCAAAATCCAGTGCTTAATAAGGTCTTTGAATGTAGGGTCTAGTCTGAAGTAATGACAATCTCAATGTCTTTAGAGATACGTCAAATGGTGAAATTGGATCATTGATGGCAAAGCCACTAGACATTTCAATGTCAAGGTCAGAGCTGAAGAGCACTACAACAGATGCCAATTCTCAGGAAGTCCAGGAATCAAGATTTCCCATGGACTTCAGGGTACAAGGGTAGAAACGACGTTCCAAGAAAGACCCTGAAATCCAACCAAGCATCACAAGTAAGCCTTGAAATTGGTCGCAGCTGCACTGGGAAATGTCAGTCTGAAACCACAAGGGGGCAGAATTGCTGCACCAATCCATGCAGTCATTTTATGTAATTAATTCACTTGTTTTCCGTAACAAAACAGCAACTGGAAACCCTCCCCAGGAAGAATCTGGGAGAAATCATGTCCCTTCCCCTCCAACCCTGACCGGGTGGCACCATAAAAGTATTACAGCTAGCCTGCAAAGACTCCATTTCAGGATTCTTGAAGGATAAAACACAAGCTACAATTTTTTTTTTCCAAAGCAGAATTGTTTCTAAATTAGAAGAAAATGATGAGATCTGAGTGAAAAATGCTTCCCTTGTTCTCACCGAAAGATATAATGCTGTAGTGATCATGTCTTTCTACTTGTCATGATTTCACTATTTGGTGTACTTGCCTCAAGGAGACTACATCTTTTCTTTTCTAAGTTAGTGTTTTCTCATTCACTAAAGCCCTGGAATGGTCAGCATGGGGCAGACAGTCTGCTGGTCTTCTAACCAAGCAAGAAATGACTCCATTGGTTGGATTTTGTGCCAATCACATTCTGTGTCAATCACATTCTGTGTGGATAAAGCACATCTCCCTTCTACACTCTATGAGTAATATTTGATATTTAATGCACAACGCCCTCCCCCTCACTCCCCTCCCCCCCAAATGCCTTCCTTTGGTTGCTTATGTTATTCCTGGGAGAGAGAGGCAGAGAGAGGGAGACAGAGAGAGACAGAAAAAGAGAGACACAGAGAGAGAGAGAGAGAGAGAGAGAGAGAGAGAGACAGAGAGAGACAGAGACAGAGACAGACAGACAGACAGACAGAGACAGAGAGAGAGACAGAGAGGCAAGATAGAGAGACAGAGAGACAGAGACAGAGAGACAGAGACAGAGAGACAGACAGAGATAGAGAGACACAGAGAGACAGAGAGACAGAGACAGAGAGAGACAGAGAGACAGACAGAGAGACAGAGACAGACAGAGACACAGAGAGAGACAGAGACAGAGAGAGACAGACAGACAGAGACAGAGAGAGACAGAGAGAGATGGAGAGAGAGGGAGAGACAGAGAGACAGAGACAGAGAGACAAAGACAGAGAGACAGAGACAGACAGAGACAGAGAGACAGAGACAGAGACAGAGAGCGAGAGAGAGACAGAGAGAGACAGAGACAGAGAGAGAGAGAGAGAGAGAGACAGAGACAGAGACAGACAAAGACATAGAGAGAAGACTCGGTGGAATGCGTGCCTGATGCCTAGCTTCCTTTACCCCTATAGTCCCTGAAGGGAGCCAATATAGACACGCTTCCTGAATGAGAGCAAAGGGGAAGTAATGTAGCTATAGGAGAGAACTCAAACATCATGGCAAAAGCACAGGCCTGAGAGTCAGGAGGCCTGAGACCTGTCACTGACTAATAATAGCTAGCATTTAGAGTTGGCAAAAGCCAACTTTACAAATATTATATAATTTTATATATTATATATATATTATATAATTATATAATTTTATCCTCATTACAATCCTGTGAGGGATTATTACCCCAGTTTTACGGATGAGGAAACTGAGGCCCAGAGAAATAAAGTGACTTGTCCAAAGACTCAAATGGAAGTAAGTGAAAGAGGTGGGATTGAAACCCATCTTTTGACTCCTCTATCCACTGCTGCTTGACTAAACCTATGGATTAGAAAAAAGACAAATGATTTGGCATATAGGCCTAGAGAGATCATTTGCCTTTTCTGTAACCCGCCCCCTTACAGAGAAGTGATGGACTCAGGATGCAGAATGAAGGTGTCCTTTTTTTTGGACATGTCTAACATGGCAAATTTGTTTTGCTGGCCTATTTCTGTTTGTAACAGGGGTTGCAGGGTGTGAATGAAAAATAAATCTGGGAGAGAGGTTTTAGATGAAGAGGAGCGGATTTTTAGGATGAAGTGATTTTGGATATGAAGAGTGAATGGATTTTAGGGTCATTATAGATTGGTTGATTGAGGGAAGATAGATCATACATGTTTTATAGTGATATTTATATCTTGCTGAATGTACTTATATTTTATGACTTAGAAAGCATGCTTAGGGGTCAATCAGCCTAGGGCTTGGGTAATTTTTTCTTTCATATACATTTCTCATTACTTTACCTTGGTGAATTTTTCCTAAACCTGTATGTCCTGTTCCCTCCTTCTGAACATATCCTAAAAAGTATACTCTTGTGGTATAATTCATGTGGCAGACAGAAAGTAAAGGAGGAAGGGGAGTGGATGCCCAAAGTAGGCATACATTTATGATTGCAATGACAGAAGAAGAGGGTAAGTAATTAGGAATTTGGGTATACACATATGTTCAAATCCAGGGAGCCAAACAGACTCAGGGTATTAAGGTCTAGGGGGGCTCAGCACTAGTAACCAGAGATTAATCAAGGTATAGAAATTAGCAAAGGAGAAAGACCTAAGATGATGGCCCAAAACCCTAGAACCTAGGTCAACATAAAAAGGATGGTTGTTTTTGAGGACTGGGGCAAGAGCTTGGCAAAAACAAAAACAAAAAAAACCCCAAATGCTTTCTTTCCTCTCTCCCCTTTACTTGACACTATAGCATAAAAGCATTTGCCAGTTTCTGATCTTTCTTCTGGGAGGATGTTCTAAATAGAAGTGGATGACGTCAACATTTGACAAAGTCAAAGAGCTTTACAAAGCCCATATGAGTAAAAACTGAATGACAGCTGGAGCTCTGAACTGTAGATGATCCCAGTTAATATATTGCTCTTTTGTTCACTGTATTTGACCAGCAGCTGTGGGAAATACTGGCAAGGGACTTTCCGGAAGCAGGATGGGTAGAGCCCCATGATACTAGCTTGGATGCATTTGGCAGGATTTCCAGAGGGGGAGGGGGGATGCTGGAGCCACTGCTGGTCCCTTCCTACCTTGGAAAACAAATAGACAAAAGGCCATCAGGGAGGTGTCCAGTTACCCCGTTGGAATATTCTGGTCCTCAAAGACCTGGTTTTGCCACTTACCACCTATAATCTTAAAGAAGTCATTTGAACTGTTAGCATCAGCTTTCCCAGCTGTAAAATGGGGCCAAGATGATTTGTACTGGGGAAACTAAAGTGGCATATGGATATTTGCGAAGTTCAAATAAGAAGTTTCAAATAATTATAAAGTATTACACATGCAGGTGGGATTTTATTAATTTTTTTTCTATAATGGGTACTAAGTAACATAGGACAGGTCACCATTAACTTATAGTAGGATGTGATTTCATGGAGGACAGGGACGGTGTTACCTTTTATCTTTGCAGCCCCATTGCCTACTAGAGTGTCTTGTACACCAGAGACTTTTAGTAAACATTTGTTGAATAAGAGTCATTTCTTTCACTAACACAGGTGTTCTTGTCTTGAGGCCAGTTTGATATTTGAACTTGGGGCCCAGTGGAAATCTGTACTTTTTGTCCTCTCTTTTATCCCAACTGGCTGACGTAGCACCTTCTCAAACATGGCAGGACTCCTCCCTAACAGAGAAAATTCTTCATTTCTAGTTATGACTACGAGGAAAAACTATAATGTATCCAGGAAATTGGTAAGTTCACAATCTTACCCCACAGGTTTTGCTAGAAGCCATACTTGGTGTTAGCAAAGAATTCATTTGAAAATCTTACGGACCTAGATGAACCTGTTTCATGTAGCTGATAAGTGAGTCTCGGTTATTATTCCAGAAGTTTGGGAGATTTTCTGCTGGTGGATATTTACAGCATGACACCTCCAACGTAATTTCAAAACACTGTGCCCAGATGTAGTTGTAATCTTGCATCCCACCTAAACAGAAGCACCAGACAAACAGAAATGGGTGAATTAGGTGGCTGTAGATGCCTGTGTAAGGAAAAGAGGAGGCAAGTCGGTCACAGTGATAAGAGCCTGCATTTGATGGCAAAGGATGCAGATGAATTCTGGTTTTTCTGCTAAAGAGCTAGGAAATTCCTGGCAAGTCCCTTGACCTCTCTGGGCTTCTGGTTCCTATCTCTAAAATGAGAGGGTTGCACTTGACTGTCTCAAAAGTTCTTACCAATTAGTGTTGTTATTGTTTGTCTTTTGTCTTGTTTTATTTTTCTTTTTAACTAATTTTTAGTTTTCAACATTCACTTCTATAAGCTTTTGAGTTTTAAATTTTCTCCCCCTTCCTCCCCAACTGTCTTTTGTTTTCAAAGAGGACAAGTGACATCACAGATGATGTCTTGACTTGCCAGTTAAGTGAGGCAGAGTTGCACAAAGCCTCACTCTCTCTTCCTGAGTCATCTAAGTCCAGTCCCAAGACAGAAGCCAAGATGACTGGTGATGGCTTGGGATGCAGTATATGACCTTGGCATCTTTGATGTCTGACCAAGCTCTAAGCGCTCCATCGAGCCTGCTCCAACCTCCTTCATAGCTGTTAGAACAAATTGTTCTCATCTGCCCTTTCCCATGGAGGAAGTCTTCACATGCTTGGGATAGACATCCCCTTTACTCACTGATGGGTTTGAAGCCTGTTGGTTAACCTCGTGGTTCAACTTGGGGGTGTGGCTGCTGCACATGCTACACCTTCTTGGAGCCACAGGTGAGAGTTGGGTGACAGGTGGATACCAAAGGTGGATGAGCAGCCCTGAAAAGGGCTTGGTAAGCCTTCACACCAGAGGTGCTGGTCTTCCCTGAACACCCCATACGCCCCGCCAATTAGTGTACAGAGACAAGACCTGACAACGCAGTATCTAGGGGCAACAGAAATACTCTGCTATGGCTCTTAGACCAGGCTACTGAAACATGCCCACAATTGCCCCCATGTTACAAAATTCCCATTACAAAAGGATTCCTCCCTTAACAAAATGATTCGTTGTTGGGTTCTTTTACAACAGGGCTTCCTGAAGTGCTGGCAAAAAAAAAAAGGCACACCTGCTCTTTTGTAAGGAAGACTCAACTTTCTGGGACATCTCTGGGTCAATCATCACAGAGTAGCCTTCTGAGAGAAAAGCAAGGCACAAGCTGGCCTGTTATTGATGCAAATTGAGCTGGGGGTTCCCTACTGCTCTGGACATTGAGGATGGTCAATCTGATCCTCCTTTGTCTCTCATTCCAGCATGTATTTTTTAAGAGGATTGTAAATTTAAAGTACATTGTTTTATCTGATCTTACCTTAGAATCCTAGAAGGGTTGGAAAGTACATACATTAGGTATCATCTAGTTCAGGGGTTTTTAATATGGGGCCCCCGGATCCTCTAAGGGTTCTGTGGGTAGATGCCAGAATTTGGATGGGGAAAAATTATAACCTCATTTCAGTATAATTTGTTTCCTTTGTATTTTATGCATTTAAAAACATGCATCTTTCTGTAGGCTTCACCAGAATGCCAAAGGGGTTCATGATGCAAAAGGTTTCAGAACCTCCCCTGGACTAATCTAAATGCTACCTGAAGAATGAATGACTTCTAACAATCCTCCAGACAAGGTTTGTGCTGGAACGGTGCTAGCTCTGATTTATAGATGGTACTACTGGATAGGAAACCTTTCTGTTGACTGAGATCTACCCTGTAACTTCCACTGCGTACTCTTGGTTCCGCCTTTTGTGGCTAGGTGGGACAAATGTAATCCCTCCTTCCCACATTCTAGCCCTTCAAACGTTTGAATACAACACACTTCGTGCCAAACTGTCCATTCATCAGTGCTAAAGACACGCAGCCTATGGAGACACACACATGGGAATGAGTCCCAGAATTACTGTTGTGTGTCACTGTGTTTCCAACTAATCCCACGCAATATGGGTTTGTTCTTATACACAAGAGAGAGACAGCAAGCTTGCTTTGGGGCCAGAGAATATTTCTCTTCTAGGTGTAAGGAGAAAAGTTTGTATCAACAGTGGGGAGGAAGGTGACAGAAGCCTGGAAACAGAGGGAGCGAAGGAGGTGAAACTCATAGAGAGATGTGCTCAAGACACATATTTATCTGGCTGAGCTATCAATCGTACTGTCTGCTTGTTTTACCTTCTTTCATGGGGCTGGCCCAAAGCTATCCTGCTACAAAAATTACCAGCTTGTGTGCCTGCTCTCCGTCCTTCCCACAGCTGAACAACTGAATGGGGAGAGAGCTAGGAAAAATGGCTAGCGAGGGCTGTATTCTGGCCCATGGGCACCTTGAATTTGAAAGAAGCAACATCTAGGCTGCTATTTGGACAATCACACCTTTAGGGGAAGGGGCTTTTCCCATAGGGTCCTGGGACACTGTGCCCATGGGATGTTCCATTTTCACATTTCTTCCTGGGTCTCTGATGATAGGAAACATGTTATTATCTATGTCAAATACAAAATCATCTCCACTTTGTTAGCAAGGGATTGTCAGCAGTTTGGAAGGACAGGGGGGTCTTTGGATAACTGCTCAGAGAGATGAACATATCACTTTTGGATTAAAGAGACAAGAAAAGAATCCAGTAGAAACAGAGAAAAACTAACCTTTGAGTGGGTACCATGTGTACCCATTTGTTATACCATTGCGGAAATTCACACTATTTTTACAAAAGTTTCCTACTCTCATTTCAGGATTCCTTGAAGAGTAGGTATATGCAAGATACTCGAACACGTCATTGTCTGGGGTTATGCTATGGCCCCGTTTTGTTCCAGTCTCTGTAAATGCAAGGCAGACACATACATAGCAGTAAATTCCAACTTAAGCTGAGGAAGACTATAACAGAACTCTGACAAATCGCCGGGTGGCAATGTAATCATACCATGCACAGAGTGATGTTAATGGGTGTGCTATCTTCAGATAAGGCAAAAAAACCCCCAAGATAAACCTATGACCAGACCAGGAATGGGACTAGATTCATAAATCACATTGCTGTCCTGTTTATTCACTGTGAATAAGCTCTAGGGGCAGCTAAGCATTCCCTGTGCAGGGTAAGGCAAGAGCTAAATGAAATTCCTAAAGCCTGGAGAACCCTGTCTGCCTACACCTCACTCCAGGGAACTCATTGCCTCTATGCTGAGTCAGAAAATTTTGAGCAAGTGGGAAGACAAGGTTAACAGTTGGCCTTTTATTATGTTGGGTTTTAACTACTTTGCCACCCAGTCAAGGCCAGAGTTTGACAAAAGCTTTGGATTTAGGGTCCAGTCCAAAGCCACAAGAGTTTTTCTGCTTTCAAGGGAAAAAAAAAACCAAAAGGTTTTTTTATTTTTTATTTTTTTAAAGCAACATGTTGTCTAGCACAGGTAGCTTCAAACTCGAATTTCCTGTTTAAGTTTTATGGCATTACAATTACCTGGATCTTTGTTTCTCCTTAACAAAAACTAATCAATGGGAAGGCTGTATAACATTTCTTCAAGAGGCTATGAGCAGCCCTGCTGGGTTTTGAGATCCATTGTTTAGGGCATTAGGGTTACAGGGAATCTATAGAAGAGCCTTGAAGGTTCCTCTGGAAACAATCCAAGCAGAAGCTGAACATATATGTATGGAGCCAAGGTATACCAGGCAGTATGAGAATTCTGGTGATGAGGAGCCCATTTATCTTCCCTCTCCTCTTTTATCTCCTGCCCTTTAGAGGCTGAGAAGGTGTCCTGCTTTTTCCCTCCCCTGCCCTTTGGGTTCCCCTTTGGCTACGCCAACCAAGTGAGCCTGTCTTCTGTCAATTACAAAACGATACATAATGTAAACACAGCTCAGCCATATAAGAAGGAGGTTTACAGAGAAGTATCTTCAAAAGAGTTCATGGAAAATTCAAGGGGCCAAGATGAATCTGTTGGACACCACATCCACTTAGCAATCTATCCATCCCTCTTCTAGGTATTGGCCGAATCTCTCTCCAAGTACTTTCATTAATCTGTGTCTTGGGTAACATAGCACTGAATGTTACTTTGGTCACATTGCCTTTTCATGGGCTGTAAACTGATACCCATTCTTGGGAGTTTACTTCAAAATAGGAGATTTCGCCTCCCTTTTGGAGGCAATGAGTGGATATAGTCCCCCCTTCTGCAGCTTCAGTGAACACTTGGTTACTCTGTGAAGAGAGATAGGGGAAGGAGTGGGCCAGTTCCTTACCTGGGACACCATTATCAAATGGGTAACTGGCCACCAGGGCTCCGCCATGTAAGTTAGCAGAGAGGATGAATGTCTCAGATTTCAGCCAATTCTTTACTGCTTGAGTTTCAGGCTGTATTGCCTCAGAATTATTTTCAAAACCATCAGGGAAATTCCTGTTCAGATCGTATTCATTTTTGTTGAACCTTGAAAAGAAAATATAACAAAGACTTCTCTGAGTTATAGAACACATTTCTACGTATTAAAAATTGTTATGACACGCGGAGTGACATTGTAAAGGGGTCAAGCCTATGAGTCATAGTCCTAGCTCTAACAGTGACCGTAGACTGGGTGAACCTAGTTTCAGAGCCTCACTTCCCTATCGGGTCTACCCCATAGCATTGTAGGGAGGATGAGATGAAATAGTGACTGTGGAACCAAAGACTTAAATACTCACACACAATAACCTGCTGGTTAGTATCCCAGCTTCAAATCTCCTCCCATTCCAGTCCATCCTTCACTTAGTTAGCTATTAGAGTGATTTCCTAAAGCACATGTCTTACCAAGTCACTCTACCCTGCTCCTCCTTTACTCAATAAACTCCAAAGGCTGCCTAGTATTACCAGATATTTTTATATAAAACCTTCAGATTGGCTTTTAAGACCCTTTATCAGGTCCTTTCCTACCTTTCAGGTCTTACCTTTTACTCCTCCCACCTCATATTCTAGGATCCAGTAACACTCACGTTTTTGCTATTCTCCAGACATTCCATCACGTGAGACTCCCATCTCCTTAATCTCTGCCTTTTCACTGGCTGACTCCCGTGCTTAGGATTCTCCCCCTCCTCATCTCTCCCTCTTGGCTTTCCTGACTTCCTTCAAGACTCAACTCAAATCTCCCTTTCTGCAAGAAACCCTTCTTGGTCCCCCTGTTCCTCTCCCCACCCCTCCCATTCCTAATGCCTCAACTCCCAAGGTTCTGTTCTACTTATTTACTCTGTATATATGTTATACACACATATAATAGACCTACCTATGTCACATGTCATGTATATGTATATATACACATACCCATATGTATCTATCTCATAGTATATATGTATAGGTAGCTCCACCCCCACCCCCCCATTAGAAATGTAAGCTTTTTGAGAACTATGTTTTTGTCTTTCTGTGTATCCTTAGCACTCAGCACAAAGCCTGGAACATTGTAGGTGCTTACTAAAGGATTGTTGATCGACACAAATGGATTTCTGATCTCATCAATGTGGATATTCTTGACAACGCTGAAAATTACAGCCTACCCATCTTTTGTAACTTATTGAAATGGTCCCATCAGTTTGCAATGGAGGTCTTTTGCAACATGCTAGCTGCCTTTCTAGATTTCTCTTGACATCATGAGTAATACCAGGGAGCACAAAGGTTGCCTGCTTGTGATCTTTCATTCTTACCATGTGATCCGCCCATCTCTTCCACCCAAATATTTCTTTGAGGGCATCCTTGACTCTTAGCTCTTCATAGTTCAGTATCTGCTATGTGTCACATTCTGTTCATAACTACCATGGGCCTATCCATTGCCTTTTGTGTGACATCCATTTTTAATTCTTTAGAGACTGTAAATGACCATAATCTATACAATCACAATCAAGGCGTGATGGTTTAAAAAAGAAAGGCCTTTGTTTCTGGGAGAAGCTTGGGAGTCATTGAAGGAGCTTTGCCATTTCTCAAAGGCAATCAAACTTACTATTTTCTTCTTCTTGTTTAGTTCTGGGTCTAACTCATTGTCCAGCTACACTATTTGTCTAAGAGAGATGTACTAATTGTTGAGTTCTATAAGCTGTCCATCTAACTACCTACATGTCATAAACTATAATGAGTATTCTTCATCCACCTAATTTTTGCTGGATGGATGATTAGATCTTCTTCCTGGGTCTTCTGAGTGGTTACCAGCACCATCAAGAGGGATCTTCAGTGTTCCAGGGCTCTATAGAAACTGTAGAAAGTCATCCACAAAAAGATCCATTGAGAAGACCATGCCATCAAGATGGAATCTTGAGCTCTGCTCTCGATCTCCTGCATGACTAAGACTCTTCGGTAAGCATGAGTCAACTCGTTTTATCTCTTATTTGATATTAATGATGAGAGTCTGGCTATCAAGAAAGGTTTTCTCAGCTGGCAATAGCATTTAAGTAATGTAAGCGTTTAATTAATTAAATAATTAATGAAAAATTAAGTAATTAAGTAATATTCTGTCTTGTATAATTTAACATGTATAATTGATATTACATGGCTTGCCTTCTCAATGGGTGGGGGAAGGGCTGGAGAAAGCATTGGGAACTCAAAATTTGTAAAAATGAATGTTAAAATTATTTTTAAAATACTTTTAATACATTCATGGAGAGCGAGGCAGAGAGGAAGCAACAGGCTTTGGGACACTACACAAGCCACTGAATTTCTCAGTGCTCTTAGAACAAAGTTGTCAGATCATGCTAGCTCTCGGTTTAGACGTCGTTGGGTTTTCTTGTTATTGTTTAGTCATTTCAGTTGTGTCCAACTCTTCATGACCTCATTTGGAGTTTTCTTGGCTCATGAATTGGAGTGATTTGCTATTTCCTTCTCCAGTTCGTTTTACAGATGAGGAAACTGAGGCAAACAGGGTTAAGTGACTTGCCCAGGGTCCTACAGCTAGTAAGTGTCTGAGGTCAGATTTGAACTCAGGAAGATTAGTCTTTCTGACTCCAGGTCTGGCACTCTTTTGGGCATCATCTAGTTGCCCCAGACATTGTTTACCACATTAAGAAAAAAATACATAACCTGATCTTATGTTTCTTAGTATTGAACCATCCCTGAATTCCTAGTATTAATACAATGCAGTTATAGTGTATGATTTTTAATGTTACTATAGTCTGCTAATAATTCAATATTTCCATCAATATTTATTAGAGACATTAATTTTTAGTTTTCCTTCTGATTTTTCTTTCCCTGTTTTAGGTATTGGACTATATCAGTCTCAAATAATGATGCCATCTTTCCCAATTCTTGCCAACAAAGTATACAAAAGTGGAGTTAATTTTCCTTTGAAAGTTTGAAAGAATTCACTTTTAAAACCACCTGGCCTGGGTTTATTTTCCTTTGGAAGTTTATTTATGGCTTATCCAATTTCAGTTTTTTAATGATTTAATTATTTAAACACTTAATTTCTTATTCTGATAATGTGGATGTTTTATATTTTAAAATATTCATCCATTTTATTTGTTATTTTTGCTCACATGTAATTTGGCACAGTATTTCCTTATTATTTTCTTTATTTCTTCTTCATTTATTGTGAGTTCTCCTTTTGCATTTCTGATATTGTTTATTTTATTTTCCTTGTGTCTTTAATCAGATTAGCTAATGGATTATCTATTTTGGTGTTGTTTTTTTTAAAAAGCACCTCATTTTACTTATCAAAGTCAGTCTTTTTGATTTTTAATATTACCTGAGTACAGAATGTCTATTGTGTTTGTGTGTTTTTTCTAAATTTGTTGATTTTCTGGTTCTTCACTTGCATGTCTAATACACTGATCTTTTAATACACTCTCTTTTATTAATGAAAGTGTTTAGAGAGATAGATTTTCCTTTAAGGACCGCTTTGGATGCATTCCAAAAGTTTTGGTATGCTGTCTCATTGTTTTCCTTCTCTTTATTGAAATTATCTACTGTTTCTATGATTTGTTCTTTGACCCACAGCTTCTCGAGGCTTAAACTATTTAGTTTCCATTAAGTCTGAACTCTTTCCTCAAATGTCCATTACTGATTATAATTTTTATTTTGTTGTAGTCAGAAAAAATGTGTTTAGTATTTCTGTTTTTCTATATTTGCTTATGAACTTTTAATATCCTAGTTCTAGTACATGGTTAATTTTTGTAAAGGTGCCATGGACCACTAGTATATATATATATGTATATATATATATGTATATATATATATATATATGTATATATATGTATGTATGTATGTATATGTGTATATATATGTATATGTGTATATATATATATACACGTATATATACATATACACCACTAGTATGTATGTATATGTGTATATATATATGTATATGTGTATATATATATATATACACGTATATATACATATACACCACTAGTATGTATTCCTTTCTATTCTCATTTTACTTCAAAGATCTACCCCATCTAAATTTTCTAAAATAACATTGATGTCCTTAAATTTCTTGTTTATCATTTTTGTTAAATTGTTCTAGTTCTAAGGAGTTTCAACTGTTAGAGTTTTTTTTTAAGTGAAATCTACCACTTTTTTTTTTTAGGCAATTGGGGTTAAGTGACTTGCCCAGGGTCACACAGCTAGTAAGTGTCAAGTGTTTTAGTCTGAGGCTGGATTTGAACTCAGGTTCTCCTGACTTCAGGGCTGGTGCTTTATCCACTGCGCCACCTAGCTGCCCCTCAACTATTAGAGTTTTACAGTTGATTCCTCTCTATAATTTGATTAACTTGTCCTTCAAGAACTTAGATGCTATGCCATTCAGTAAACATAGATTAAGTCAACATTATTTCATTATCTATGGTTACTTTAAGCATAATGTAGTTTTCCTGCTTATCTCTTTTAATCACTATTTTAACTCAAACTATGCTTGAATCTTTAATTGTTGGATTTTGCCTTCCAAGCCATTCTGCACCCTCCTCTATTTTATGGGTCAGTTCATTTCATTTATAGTCACTATTATGTTTTTTTTTTTTTGTCAAGGCAATGGGGTGAAGTGATTTGCCCAGGGTCACATAGTTAATAAGTGTCAAGTGTCTGAGACCAGATTTGAACTCAGGTCTTCTTGAATCCAAGTGCTGTAACCACTGAACCATCTAGCTGCCCCTACACTGTTATGATTGTTAATTGTATGTTTCCCTCCGTCATATTCTCTTACAGTTTTTTTTCTTTTCCTCCAGGCCCCTTCTTGACAAAGAAGAAAGTGGTAGAGAAAGAGAAAATATACTGATCTACATTAGAAATCTATGACTCAAGGGGTCTATTTCTAACCCTACCCTAGTTTGTCCCTCCTTTCTTCACCAAACCCAAATCTTGATTTAATTTTTACACTTTTATCCTTCTCTTTTGACCATCCCCCTCAAAGTAAAAGTTTGTTTTGCTTGTGATTATTCCTTCCCCAACCATAATCTCCCTCTTGTAATCTATTTTTCTTTTCCCTGCTTGTTTTCCTGTTGAACAAACAAGATTCATACAGGATAAAGACACTATCATCAGAGGCAAGGCAGCAGTAGCATTAAGGCGGATCAGGAAAGGCTTTCAGTAGAAGATGGGTTTTCAACTACGACTTGAAGCAAGCTAGGGAAGCCAAGAAGCAGATAACAAGGATGTAGAATATTCCACACATGGGGGACAGCCAGTGAAAAGGTTTTGTATTTAAAAGTCTTGGATACTGGGTTGTCGGCATCCATGCACTAAAAACCTGTACTGAAATGGTCACCAAGAGAATTCTGAATGTAAATGTCCTGTTTCTTAACCCTGCTATGAGTAGAAAAATATTAATTCATCAGCAAAAATAAAGTTTGGGTTTCAAATGACTACCTCAACCTCTACTTCTCTCTTTAATGATCCTTATTCTTCCCTCCACAGCAAACCCTCAGGTGTTAGGTTTTCATAGCCTGTCCTTGTCCTGTCCCCTTTCCTCTCCTGATTGCCTGCCTGACTCTCTCCTTGGCTATTCACAGTAAGCATTGTGTGGGAGAAACAACACTGAACTTGGAAGTCATGGGACCTGTCAAATCCTGCTGTGCCATTTGCTGTCTGTGTGACCTTGGGTGAGTCATTTGCAATTGTTTCTGTTTTGGCCAAAATCCCTTGAGGGTCTTCCCCTCCCAGATTGCTTTTTTTTTTTTTTTGGCTACATAATTGAGTGCATTCTCTGCGTCATTTCTTGCCTAGTCTTAATCACGGAATGGGCATTGCCTCCGTCAAACTGAGACTCGTTAAAGACCTTAGCTTAAAAAGACCAAGGTCTCCCACTGCATCCAGGGCCATCTCCAGTCATGCTGATCTCTACCTTGCCACTGGACCCAGATGGCTCTAGAGGAGAAAGTGAAGCTGAAGACTTTGCACAGCCCTGCCTCACTTAAATCTAATTCACTTGCATGTCATGGTATCACCTCCCTGATGTCATGGTCCTCTTTGACAACGATGGACAAACAACAATAATAACTTTTTGTTTGTTTTTCGGTGGGGCCATCAGGGTTAAGTGACTTGCCCAGGATCACACAGCTAGTATGTATCTGAGGCTGGATTTGAACTGAGGTCCCTGAGGTCCTCCTGACTCTAAGGCCAGAGCTCTCTATTCACTGCACCACCTAGCTGCCCCAACAATAACTTCTTTAGGACTGTTTCCTTAACTATAAAATGATGGAGTTAGACTAGATGGCTGCTGCCATGCCTTCCCACTTTAGAACTATGTCCCAGCATCCTATCAATTCTCCTTTCCAAGTTTTTATTTATTTATTTTTTTGAATCACTGGTTAAATGAAGCAGTGCTGGGTAGGAAACACCACTCCCCTGCAGCAAAGCCAATAAAGGATAGGAAACACAAACACCCAAGAACTTAAGATCATGGATTTAGATCTGAAAGAAACCTTAGATATCAATGTCCTCTCTAACAGAGTAGGCCAGAAAGGTTCATTGATTTGCTTACGGCTGCTCAGAAACTAGCAGTGTCTAAGACTTTGAAATCAGGTCCCCTCACACCAAATCTAATACTTTCCTCCCATCACCCTTTTCCTCTGAGTCATCCTGATATTCAACACACCAGAGTCAGCTGCTCTGCCCACAGGAGTCGTTAGGCTTATTGATAATGCCGTAGGCATGCCAGGGATTTGATTGCATTGGGGTATCACAGGAGCATGTTTGATTTAAGTGACTCCATTCTGAATATGTAATGAATGGAGTACATATACCCCAAGCACACAAGTACACACAGTCATGTGTGCAGCTAGGATAATCTAAGATTTGGGATGATCATTCCTCTCTCTCTCTCTTTCTGCTCTGTGCACACATACACACACACACACACACACACACAACACACACACTCACAAGGGAGAAAGCAAGTGATTTTTTTTAAACTGTGCCCTTTATTCCTTTGTCAATCTCAAAAAGCCTGTGGACTTCTTAAAATAATGTATTAGGAGAAATTTAAAAAAGAAGGAAATGTTCAATTTCAGTAGAGGTGAGTGAAAATAAGAATTTTTTCCCCCTTCCAAGTTAATGAACTTCCTCCCCTCCTCCAACAGGTGTATAGACCCCAGGGAAAGAATTTCTGATGTACACAGAGAAACCAGCCCACCTTTACCTGCCATTTGAGAAATAACAGTCGGGTATTTCGACAGATTCAAATCCATCTGGATTCATAGTAGGCATGATGTGTATCCGAGTGTTATTAATCAGGCGGGTGATTTCAGGGTCCTTTCCATCATTCTTAACCAAGTGGTCTATCAGATGGAGGAGTAACTCCCGTCCTACAGACTACAAAGAAAAAAAGCTGAGTTGAATGAAACCATCCCCAAAATTCCAAGAGACAGAGTACCACCCAGGAACATGGATTTTCTTCTTCATGAAACACAAGACCAAATGGGCAAAATACTGCCAAGAATTTTCAAGTGTGTCATCAGAATCAATTAATGGCAGTGTGGAAGTTTATAAATTTAACCCATTCAGTCACTCATAAGCATTTATTAAGTGCCTACTGTGTTCCAGGCATTGTGCTAAGTGTTGGGGGTACAAAAAAAAGGGCAAAAGACAGTCCCTGCCCTTGAGAAGTTCATCTATATCTATATCCATCCATCCATCTATCTATCTATCTATCTATCTATCTATCTATCTATCTATCTATCTGTCTGTCTGTCTGTCTGTGTCTGTCTGTCTGTCTGTCTGTCTATCTATCTATCTATCTATCTATCTATCTATCTATCTATCTATCTATCTATCTATCGAGACATAGAGAGAAAGAGACAGAGAGAGACAGAGACAGAGCCAGCCAGCCAGACAGAGGGACAGAGATGAAAACATGCACATTACTATGGACAAACAAGCTATATACAAGATAAATAAGATATAATTAAGAGAAGAAAGGCACTAGAATGAAGAGGGAATGGGAAAGGCTTCCTATAGTAGGTGAGATTTAAATTGGGACTTGGAAGGAAGCCTGGGAAGCAAAGGGTTGGAGGTAAGGGAGAGCATCCCAGGTGTGGAAGACAGCTAGAAAAAATGCCTGGAGATGAAAGATGAAGTGTTTTGTCTGAGCAAGGAGGCCAGTGTCAGGGACATTTTGAGGACAGAGTAATAAAGCCAGGTACTGCCAAAAGGCTATGACATATGAAAGTTCCAGAGAGTTTCTGGGTAATTAGTCACTTTATTAATTATGCCAGTGGATAATTAATAAAAAGGGGTCAGTGGAACTCTTGAATGCCAAAGACCTCTCATGAAATCCACTCAGGGCTTATATGCCCTTAGAAGAGTGGTGTTCCTGAGGGTGACAATCAACTCTGATTGGTTAACAATTAGTGAGAAGAATGAATGCTATAACAGAGGTGGGCCTATCCCAATGAGGGGCTGGGGACATGACTCTGATCACTCTGGCTCCCAGCCTTGGGCAATCTAGACAAAGGATCTACTCTGAGGGGGAACCCTGAAGCCCCAGTCTGAGTAGAAAACAATGGGCCTCCCCACTTGAGTTGAATCTAAACAAGACTGAGAAGAAAGTTAATCCAGACTCATTATCAGCAATGTCCTTCAGATGCTGGCTTAACCTAGTAGAGAATGAGGATATCAGAAGGGAAAAAACCTGGATCTCCCCAATAATTTGATATTTAATAAGGTTTTCTATGAGGACTGTCTCAGCAAAAAGAGACACCCAGACAAACGAGAGACTGGTGAGGTCCAGGGGCGCAACCATTCTTTTTGTTTGATTGTTTTACGGACCCATCTAGTAGTTCAGCGAAATATATGGGCCCCTTCTCAAAACAATGGTTTTAAATGCACAAAATGAAATACATAGGCTTATAAAGGAAATAAATTTTATTGAGTTATAAAATTTTTAAAAATCTTAAGTTCATGGGCTGCAGTTATGAATCCCTATTCTAGAATGACAAAGGAGACCATATAAACTGGTTGTTATGAAAGTAAGGTGGGACAAAAGCAACAGAACCCTTCTTCTGGTTTTCCCTTTTTAGGCTCCAAGCCATCTAGTTTTGAGGTGAATATTTCACGTCAGTTACATCAGTGATTTTCCTGAGCTTGTGCATTCTCTACCAATGCAGATGGTGGTCCATCTATGACAGTTACAGGACCTGAAAAATGCCACATCATACTGCCAATGGGGTGATAAATCACTCTAAGCTTAGTAGGACTGGTCCTTAGGTAAGCAAGCACACCAGAGTTTATGCCCCTCTGAAATAGCCTATGAGAACCCAGGGAATTCTCCACGCCATGAGGAAGGATCAGAATAGGGCGTTAATTTAGGTTTGATGGAATAATGTAATAAAATTCCACTTAAATTATTTTGTGTCTGATTTTGCCCAGACCCCAACCCCCAATGCTCTTAAGAAAGCCTCTTGCCAATAATTTGCTTTTTGTTTCCACAAACAAAAGGATCAATTAAGGAAAATACATCAACATCAGAAAAAAGATAAATGATTCCATTTTAACTGTCTATTCTGAGGCAACAGCTATTTGGGGCATTCTAGACCTCAACAGCTCACATTCAAGTAATTTCTACTGGAAAAAAAATGTTTGGGGACATTTTTTGGTTGGGAAATAGAAAGGAGAAAAGAGTGTGTGTGTGTGTGTGTGTGTGTGTGTGTGTGTGTGTGTGTGTGTGTGTGTGTGTGTGTGTGTGTGTGTGTGTGTGTATAAGATAGGAACCACCTGAATACCATGCTAAATTTCTAGAAACTTGCATTTTTAAAGCCAAGTATAAGGTACAATAAGGTATAACTCAGATTAGCAGGTGAGTACCAACATTGTGTTGGGTTACAAAGAAGGAAAGTGATTTTAGAATCCAAATTTGGATTTCTCTAATGTTTGTAATGACACCAAAGTATTTTCCATCCAACTCAAAATGCTCACAGAGGGTTAGAAGCTTAAAATGTTGTTTTTTTTTTTTTGGCTAGCCAGTGGAGTTAAGTGACTTGCCCAGGGTCATGAAATAACTATCTGAGGCTGAATTTGAGCTCAAGTCCTCCTGACTCTAGGTCCAGTGTTATATCCACTGCACTATCTATTTGCCCCGGCACCATCTGCTTTTGATGACTGATGGATTGGAGACCAGAACAGCATTTCAAAAATCTGAGGACTTCTTTCATACATACTACTATGTGGGTTGTGTTTTCTAAAATATTCATTTGAGGAAATTCATAGTAGTACCATAGATTTAGGGCTAGAACGGACCTTAAAGGCCATTTAATTCAACTCTCATTTTCAGATAAGGAACTTGAGGCTCAGAGGAGTTAGAGTTGGGGAGTATGTGGGGAAGCTAAGTATTCTAAGTATTTGCCCTCAAGGAACTTACATTCTAATAGAGGAAGGTAACCCTTCAGAGGAGTGGTACCCAGGGAAGACCTCTCTTGGGAGAGTGAAGTGTGAACTCTGGGGAATGTTGCATTATTAACAGATGAAGATCCTGCGTTTTTGGTTGGCTTTACTTAACTGGTTTTCTTTGATACAAGAGAGGGTTCTATATGGTTGGGGAATAGTGCAAAATGACTGTGGTACAAAAAAAAAAGAATCAACTTTTTTTAAAAAATTAAGCTCAATATGATAAGTCAGGGTCCAAAATCAAGTTGAGATTCATAAAAATGCCATTAAATGTCTAACCACATTATTATGTTTTGAATACTCAAAATACACATGATTAAGTTCTACTGAGTGAAAAATAAATATAGTCATAATACAGCTGTAGGTTAAGAAGCTCTCACTGAACGACTGATAAAAGAACCTGGATAGAGTAGCTGGCAATTTATTTTTTGAAATTCCCAGAATGAATCAATCAACAAGCATTTATTAAGCACCTACTATGTATCAGGCTCTATGTGAGGTTCTGGGGATACAAATGCCCTCACGGAGTTGCCTTTCCTAAATGTAAATGTATTGTCATGTAACCGCAAAGTATATAGTAAAGGTACTGTGTATTAAGTAACCTCAAAGAATAAAGTAAATATGCAATTAGTTTTCGCTCAATTCAGGCAAAGGGGTTGGCATCTGCCAGAGAGGCAAACACATGCAACAGTCCTATAAAGAAAAGAAGCGTCAGGGTGGACTGGAGAGAATACAGGAGGTAGAGTCGGAGGATCTGAGGTCAAGTCCTGGGTCTGATGCTGACTATCTTTGTGACCTTGGGCAAATCATTTATCCCCTCTGGGCCTCAGTTTCTTCATCTGTAAAATGAGAAGGTTAAATTAGATGGCCTCTAAAGTCCTTTCCAGCTCTAAATCTATAGTCCCACAAATTTCCTAAAATTAAAAATTAAAAAAAAAATACAACGCATTTGGAAGTGTGTATAAAAGAAGTCATCAGATTTTTTTCTTTAGTGAGGTAATTGGGGTTAAGTGACTTGCCCAGAGTCATATAGCTAGTAAGTATTATGTGTCTGAGGCTGGATTTGAACTCAGATCCTCCTGACTTCAGGGCTGGTGCTCTATCCACTGCACCACTAGCTGCCCCAAGTCCTCAGATTTTTGAAATGCTGTTCTGGTCTTTGGAAGAACCAATCTGTCACCCTAGGGTACCACAAAAATGAGCTTTGAATTACAGGCTGGCCACAAAGTATAAATGAACAGCTTATGGGTGCTATTTATTCCAAGGAAAAGTCTTCCTGAAAATGCAATAATTGAAGCAAACTGGCCCTGATTCTGTTCTTTTAACTTAGGGAAACCAGGTTGTCAAAGTGGAAAAACTAAACCTATTACTTTATTCAAAAGATTTTTGAAGATGCTGAACAGAACTGGGCAGCACTTATCAGGAAGGATGTGGATAAGTTGAAGAAGGTCCAGTGGGCAACACCAGGATGGTAAAGGCCCTTGAGGTCATGCCGTAGAAGGCTCAGTTGATCTGTAGGCAGAAAAAGGGAAGACAGGGTGGGGAGGAGAACATGACAGGCAGCTGTCTTCAAGGAAGGGTCTGCATGAACTTAGGCTCTTAAATGTACCTGCTAGTCTGGTTTTGCCTGGCTGAGGAGGCAGAGCTAAGAATAATGGGAAAAAGTTAAGAAAAATATTGTTGCCAATTAAAGCTATCCAAAAATGGGCCCCCCTTCCAGGTGTGATGAAATTGAGACACTGGTCTCTTCTTTTCCTCATCTATTCCATCTCCTGACTCCTGGTATTTATATGGGTTGTCCATCATGCTTGGACTCTCTACCTCCTCCTCTCTTCTATGTGGCCTCCATAAAGTCCCAGCTAAAATCCTGCTTTCTAAAGAATGCTCTTCTTGATTTCCCCCTTTAGCTAGTATTTTTATTCTGTTGATTC